CAGATGTATCTTACAGAAAGATTAATAATGAAGTTAGAGTATTTCTGTAGAATGGTAACACAAACACTTCTTGGCTTCTACCCCTTTTCCTTGTATTTCACTCACCCACTGCTCCTGTGGGTCATAATGTTGGTGGTTTCATTCTGGCACGTGTGTGTGTGACATGGAGAGTTATCAGAATTTGTAGTCCTGTTGTGGGAGAATACAATCTCCATATTGATGGTTTCTCCTCCCTTGCTCTAGGATCCACTTGGGGTCATGTTTACATGTTTGCTATTGGTCTGCAGTGCCACGCTACATCTGATTTTACGGTATGTGGTGACTATTACATATATTAGTTACTATGGTTTTGTTCTCCTTGTTACCCCTAAAACTATTTTTTATTCAGCTGCAGGTCAGCATTTCTTTGTCTGATCACCAGTGAATTGCTTAAGGCCGTTAGGTCTCCAGTGCCAAGCCTGTGCCTTGCCTGTTACCTTTACGTGTCTGTACTCCTCTGCACATCTTGTGTCCCCACTTCTCAAGGCCTCTGCTATTGCACCAGGCCTGAACGTCTCCACACTGTATCCTTGTGCTAGTTGTAAATCTCTCATTCTATGTAGAATAACTGTTACTGCTATTTATACAGAATGATGGCTGTACCACACACAGATAAACTGAAGTAAAACACGTTAGCCATAAACCTGGTCAATCATGGAAACTGCTGTCACAGCTTACAAAGTAAGGTACAGAAGGACTGAGAGAAGTTCAAACAAAGCAAGCCTGACAAGTCGAGTCCTGAGGCTTTGCAAATTTGGCACAAAGCTGACAGCAAATTACCACAAATGGCAATACTGTGTTGCAGGGCTATATGGTTACTGTGTTTTAGCCCCAAAAGCCATAAGCAGATAAGAGCAAGCTGTACACACTACCAGATAACCCATCAGGTTTAAGCAATTTTTTTAGAATTGGAATTTTTTATGTTTTGAAGTAGAAAGCACAAGAATGCAAGAATTAGTCTCGGTTATCTGACCTTTTAAAACTAGAAGTTAGCTCAAAGCATATTGCCTCTTTTTATAAACAAAATTGCATTATCCAGTGAATGGTGGAAAACGAGGGTAATGGCAATGATAGTCAAGCACTGAAACTGGCTGGTTCTTTCTCAGAAACCTTTGACAAAAAACAATCCACAGCCTCCCCAGGCAAACAAACATGCACCAGTTTATCTGATTCCGCTTTGCACTAGATAATCTCATGTCCCTTTCCATCCTCTTGTTCTCTATCAGTAGGTTGCTTTTTTACCTTAAATAAAATATTCCTTGTGCATTCTCAAACAGGACCACTTTTCTTATCTCCTTTGTCTTTTTTATAGTCTCCTCATATGATATGCTGATGTGTCACCTAAAAGCCTCTGACTGGATTTGGGTTTTGCAAAGCTTAAAATGCCCTTGTTTATTGCAGTCTGTGGGGTTTTCTTGGTTTGTTGGTTTGGGTTTTATTGCTTGTTTGGTTGGTTGTTTTTTGTTTGTTTGTTCGTTTTTTTAACCATGCCATCCTTTATTATATCTAAAGAATTACTTATTTCACAATCACCTATTAAAATGATCACAAAGAAAGTGAAACTCATGTTGATGGGCCTGCTATCACTTAAAGCATTTGTATAGTTGATGTTGCGGATTCTTTGGTTTTCAATTAGAAAAAATACCCATGCCTGAATTCTCTAGGCAGTCAGAGTTTTGGTATTAATAAGGTATCTTTGGCATCTTCTCCACTCACATCCAAACTGTTGCGCATGTGAATGGAGACCTGTGACCTGGCACCTTTTTAATACCACTGATTACAGCATTCTTATCCATAGTTTCCTCTAGAGCTGCAATGCTGTACCATGGTCTGGCAAGGACATCTTGATACCCAGAAGGGAAATCTCCAATCCTGTAATGTGTTCTTAAAGATTAACTCAAGGTAAAAAAACCCCAAATCTGTCTTTTTAATGCAGGATCATTCGCAAAAGTGTAGTATTGAGTATTTTTGTCAAGGCTTTGCCTAAGGATCTCAGGACCGGGTCAGAGACATCACTCAGTCTCATAATAGTATTTCTATTCTCTCCAGTAATTCCATTTTAACAACAGAGCCCTCTTATTACTCTAATCTGATGAAGCTTGGGTGGGATGATATTTTGTCAGTCCTGTTGAGACCTGCTGTAGGCATACAGCTTTTGCAGTTCATCTTAGTTCTGATCAAAGAGAAGGAAAACATAGGCAAGGTTGTTTCCTTTATGTAAAACTTAAGACTCTACCCCAAAATACGCAGAATTCATGCCTATTCACAACATGGACACAGCATTCAAGGAAGTGTACCAGGGGCATGGTAGATAAATAAGGGATTTGGACCAGAAGCAGCAGGAAGATAAGCAAGAATTCCTTAAGTACAAAAAAATTTCTGTAGACTCATCCTACTGAGTTCTGATAACCTGAATTAGGTTGTTCTGATATTTTCTTTTGATAGAGGTATAACCCATTAGCTATCAGGGTTTTTCAGAAGAGCTTCAGAGAAAGCATGGAGAAAGAGGAGTGAGCTGTGATGTGTGCAGCGAGTTAGAATAAATTCCATAAGGTGCATTAAAGCAGCATGATCTTCCCCTGACACTGACTGAGGTGGAATCTGTTTGCCTGGCACTTCCTTGCAGAAAGGTTTTTGGCAGATTTTGTTTCAGAAGCAGTGATTGTTAATTCTGGTGTGAGTAGCTAAATTCTGAGTAGCTAAATTTTGAGGGAGTAGCTAAGCCAAGGCTATCATGATGTGTGGGTTTTGGTAATTTTGGGGATATAATAGCTAACATTCAAAGTGGTGCTGGACTTTTACTCTGTATATTCCTTTGCCATAGGAGAGATACGAAGGGTTTTACCACGTTAATACTTGTTAATGCCTTGGAAGTATTCAGTATTCTTTCTCTGTCTCTCCCCACGCCTGCCCATTCTCCCCCAAATGTATTTTTAACTTAACAGGGAAACCAAACAAATAAACAATTACTGCTGGAGAAGGGAGAGCTGAAGAATATGAAGAAACTGATGCATCTTTGCCCAGAAGCATTCTGCAGTTCTGGGGAGATTTCAGGTATGTCACAGTTTTAGTCTGGGACCAACTGCAAGTGAAATGCATTCCTGTGGAAACCAATAGGCACAGTTCTTCTAAAACAATTCAGACATAAATGTACACTCATGTACCAGGCGGAATCTTCATTGGTTATATTCTGGAAGGTCAAATATCAGATTATTCTGTCCTGGTTCAGAACAGGCAAATGGCCAACTTGAAAGTTCAGAGAAGGCATGTATATTTTACTCTAGTCCCTTTAAGACACATACATCTGAATTAAAACCAGCCAATCCCCAAAACCCCATATGATTTCCCTACTGCAACCATGGATTAAAATGATTTGTGAGGAATAAAAAATCAGTTGTATATTTAGTGTTGTTATGGCAATGGTCTGGCTTGGGTCTCGTCCGAACTGGTATAAGGTTTCAAGGGAGAGGAAGATCACAGTGGTGCATCTCATTGCCTGCACCTGGAGGTGCACTTGCCAGCAGCAGAACCTGTAAGAGGAAAGGCGCAGTCTTGGGGATGCCTTGAATCACTTGGCTGGTGGGTGATATGATATGGGTATATGGGGTGATGGCACAACACCAGCTGGAAGCCAAATAAATAATTAATGATCACAGAAAATTTTGAAGGTACAGAATGTAATTTATTGCCCAAAGTAGCATTTTGAAGTGGGAAGTGATCTTCAGTTTCTCTGCATTCACTGACCCTGCTGAGAACTATGTTACGAACTTGAAGGACGATGAAGGGTAGGTTGTTTAGAGAGGCATTAGCTAGCGCAGAGCCATTCAGCAGCACGAGGAGGATCACTCTGTGTGTGCATTCTGTTCTGGAATGAAAGCATGCTTTGTGAAGGAATTCATCTTTAAAGGGCTGTCTGCCTAAGTGCTCGTCTGGAATAACTCTTGTGGAATAATGCAGTTTGCAAAAGTAGTGCCAGCCAGTTCCTCTGGGAACAAAGACAAAGCCTGGGGCACCCAGGATTAGACTTTAGGTACGTCGATAAATGACTCAATATCTCAAATGGGGGCCCTGAGAGCACTCCTGTGGTGTGCTGATGGTGGCTAGGGGCCATGGGGTTTGTTGGTTGGTTTCCCCACTTGGCCGGCACTGATGACACCTGTGAATGCTCTTAGCCTCTCACCGGCAGAGGAGGGGAAGGTTTTCACATGCACTTTGAAAGAGGCTGGGATGCTGTTCCCATCCCTTCTGCCACGTGAAACCCTCTCACCTACCCAGGCAGTGACCCTGAGGGGCTGTCAGCAACTCCTCCTGCTCACTGGAGTCCTCTGGCACCTCCTTCACACGCAGTCCTGTACCCACTGGGGAGTGCTAAAAAGGATGCTTCCCAAACACTGCCTCCAAGAAGCCTGCAGAAGTCTCGCAGAAAAAGCAAGTCCTGCTAAAAGCACCTTTCCCATCCATCTAAAATGGCAGATTAAGTCATGTGTATGACTCAGCCTCATTTTCTTGTCCTGTGACTTCAGGCAAATCACTTCTCTTCCAGCTTTCTGACAGGTTTTGGCCATCTGATTAAAAAAAAAACCAAACAAACCAAAAAACCAAGGTCTCATGCCTTGTTTAGGAAAATGCGTGTGTGGCACCCGGGAAAAAAATAAGGCTGAGCTGCGTTGAACTGAATGCCCTCCAAAGCAACGCCACTCCGAGTTTTTCATCATGCCTGTCTTTACCAGCTGTAAAACGAGGGTGGCACAATAGTCCTTAAAGATTGCAAATACGCTAGCTGATAAATTTTAGGAGATGAAGTCATTGAAGGCAATAATTAAACTGTATTTCGGGTGGTGGGGGTGAGCAAGGACAGGAGCAGGCCGCATTCCTCTCACCCTCCCCCACGGCGGTCCCCGAGGCAAGCGGCTCGTTTTGGCGGGCGGCCCCCTCAGCCCCTATGGCCCCGCCCCTCCGCTCCGGCGGGAAAGGTGCCGGGTTTGTCCCCTCAGGAGGCGGAAGGGGGACGGGAGCCGCAGCCTGCGCCGGTCTGTGGAGCTCAGGTCCCGGGTACTGTAACCACTCGCAGCCCCGCGCTCTCCGAGGGTCCCGGGGATGAGCTGTGTGTTTATGGGCGCTGTAATTCTGGTGCCTTACCCTTTGGGAGGGACATTTATATCCCGTGAAGAGGCAGCTGGCAAGCAAAAGCCAAATAAATCTGCGTGTTGATATATGATTAATCATTTATTTTCCTCTGAGTCAATAGATGTGAAAGTCTGCCGTGGTGTGCCTCGGTGCAGGTCAGATCACCTCCTGTCCCCAGCGCAGGGGCCTGGACCCTGCTCCTGTCACATCAGCTGCCAGGTTCTGTCAGTTCAAAAGCAGCTCATCAGGCACAGCACGAGGTGCCGTGACCAGGACCCCCTCGCAACGACAGGCTGAGTCTGCTGGAAGAAGGGCAGGTCTCACATACCACAGAGTCACAGGCTGGTTTGGGTTGGAAGCGACCTTAAAGCTCATCCCAGTTCCAGCCCCCTGCCACCAGCAGGGACACCTTCCACTAGACCAGGTTGCTTCAAGCCCCATCCAACCTGGCCTTGAACACTGCCAGGGATGGGGCAGCCACAGCTTCTCTGGGCAACCTGTGCCAGTGCCTCAGCACCCTCACAGGGAAGAATTTCTTCCTTCTATCTAATCTAAATCTTCCCTAATGAACACTCATAATGTATCCTAACAAACAGCTCCCAAGGTGGTAACAGGAGGGTTAGGGCACCTGAGGTGGCACAGAAGTGTTTGTGTTTCCTCACCAAAGTGGATGGATTCACCGTTGTCTCAGACTTTCACCCTTTTATCTGCTTCATTGCAGGCGCTGGTAACTGGAATCCTCTGTGTCTTTGACGCATTAACACACCAGCAACGGGCGGCCCCTCTGCTTGACAGGCAGATTTTGTTCATACCTAAAGATTTTAGTAGGGTGCGGTATAATTCTTCCATTTTCCCTCGTAGCCTGCAGGAAGGCACAGTTCTGGGTCTGCCTCATTTTTCTGCTGTGAGATGCCAGTTGCCTGAGCATGGGGAGCAGGAGAGCGATCCCATCAACCGCTCAGCTGTGTTTGTAGTGCAGGATTATGTGCATTTCAGGAACATACTTTTAATTGAGAAGGGGATTGTAATACAGATGTAATGGCTTTTGTATTACTTCTCCCTTCAATATTTGAAGCTAAGAGGTTTTCAAAATCTCTTTAAGTACTTTTTATTTCATGTTTTACTGTAATCATTTTTCTGAATTGTATTAGGCATAATGTGAAGGCATGATTTTCTCATTCCATAATTGTCAGGGTTCTGAAATAGAAATGAAATATATCCTGACACTATCAGAAACACTGATTTCATAGGAATATTTCTATTAAATGGTAACAGAAGTGTCTCTATCATATTTTCACTTGAAACCCAAATAAGATCATTCTAAAATTACATTTTCTTTCTCACTTCTCCGAGCGTCTGAATGCACAAGATTCTTGCAAGCAAATTCATCATACCTTAAGTATCCATTTAGAAGCTGAAAAAAGCTATTTGCAGATATTTAGTATAAATTACCCTATCCTCTGTTGGATGTAGCCCATCTTGTAGTTTCATAATAAACCTGTCTTACCTTTCATAAATTTTATTAACAAGGATGAGCAAGCAAACTTACACACACATCTGATGGCGTAGTTCGCAAAGCTTTTGATCAGCCATTGCTAGAACAGTGAAAACAAACTCGTAAGTAAGACAGAAGCAACCTATCCGTTTACAAAACTACAAAAAATATAAGGCAGGTTATAAGATCACATTTCTAAGGAACTACTTTGTGTCCATTTTTCTTACATTCAGAAAATTAAAGGAAGTAATATTTTGCTTTTGATTTAATCATTGTATCAGTAACTGTCTTTACTGGTTCTTGGCCTTGCTTATAGAAGTCACATGAGAGGGCAGTGACATGGCAAGTTAACCATGAAAAAACATGAAATAAGCTCTCTGTATATGGTTTTGCACAATAAAAGCCTCATATTTTTATATCCCTGTTTTATTCTCTTCATGCAAGCATACTTCGTACAGGTGTTACTTCTATGTCTTCAATACTTATTAAGTATTCTGAACCCCAGCAAGAACTCAAAAACAAATGCAGCTTTATAGTCTATTCTGAAGACACATGGCTAAGGAGTTGTAACCTTCTCAACAGCACTGTTTTGTGGGCTTTCTGTCACATAAAGATGGAGGAGCTGAGAGGTTGCATAGCCTTTCCACTACCCATTCTGTCTGCAAGTAGGCTGACTTCTGTCATAAAAACACAAACTTAACTTTCTTACCAGAATAAATTCCACTAATGTTAAATCATTTAAAATGTTCCCACATCCAAACTCATCTCTGACCCAAGATGGGAGTAAGATTTCTTTTTCCTAACACCTGTTAAGCCTTTTCTAGTCAAACTGCTTCATCTGAGAGTAATGCAGTATACTTTATCCTTTTGGTCTGGTTGGTCAGATAACAAAGATTTGGAAGCAGAATATGAGTTTAAATCCATATATGATGAACTGAGAAGTTTCTGTGGTTCAAGGACTTCTTAAAAATCCTTTTACAGTTATTAATTCATTTATTGCCACCTCAATACTATGTTTGTTTGCATTTCCCAGTAGTGATCAGTACTTTATAGCCTGTTCTTCCATGATGAAGGCCTTCGAGGATCAAGTAGTCCAAGAAGAACCAGGATACCAGGATGATGAGGTAAATTTATGGTTGGTTGACAAATATTAGCAGCAAATGTTGTTTGAAGATATTTTGATAATGTTATGGAATCCACAGAGAGACAGGAGTTCCCCAAAGACCATCATTGAGCTCAGTGCATTTGAAAACTCCTTCAAGTCTAATACCAAGAAAAACTCAATTCTCCTGGTCCTGGTACAGCCTTGCTCTTCAAGTACCTTTAATCTTTCAAAAGCTATGCAGAGTTTTTAATAGGATTATCATTATTTCTTTATATTTTACACTTCTATATTAAATGCAAGGGGACTATCAATTAATCTTATGCTTCCAATGAATGGTCATCAGCCTGAAAAGACTGAGGAACTGTGGCAGAAAAAGATCAAGATGATGATCATAACACAAGTTCTATTAGCACAGCAGAGGACTGTTTGCCTGTGAAGATCCACTTTATTAAGAGGGCGATAGGAAATGTGTAGGCCTTCTTGGCTCACTGTGGCTTTGCATATTTGGGTAGTCCAACAAGCTCTGTATGGTAAGGGAAAATCATTGAAATGTTTACAAATTTGAAACAGTCACATAGTGAGATAGATGTAATTACAAGAAAGAGCAAAATCTGTTTTGTTTTTGTTTGTTTTTTTTTCTGCTGTTTTCTTTTTAGGAATCCTTTTTCCAGGATATTGACCTGCTACAGAAGCATGGAATTGTAAGTATTAGCAATGAATTTACATTGCCCCTGCAAAGTTATTTTAAGGTTGTTTCCAACAGTGCAAACACATCAATGCAGATGACTGAAATCCCTCCTTGCAATAAATTCTAAATCAGTCATATGGAGACAATTTTTGCCTTTGGTGATAAGACAGGTTTTCAGAAACTCTCATTCCCATCAGATTCCTAAATAAAGTGGCAAGATATTCAAAGTATTTAGCACCCAGCACTCTTGAAAAACCAACTACTTGCTAATTTATTTGAAAACTGTGTGATAGATTACTTCCTGTTCCTGCCAATCTTTGTAATTACTCCTGCATTTTTGGTGCCTGTGAAATTACACTGTGACAATTGTTGCTATACTATTTTCAGCATGCTGGTGAAGGGGGTAGAGTGGGAGTGAGGAAAATATTAGTAGCTAGAGAAAGAAATGGTTAGTTTTCTTCATTAAATATGAATTCCTAACGTCGTTATCACCATCATAATTATTATTACCACATAAATGTCACTTATTTATTTGAATTACTATTATTAGATGCTTAGCCAGGAGACTGGCTCTCAGATGGGAACCCTGTTACATTCAGTGTTACAGAAACAGAGTAAAAATTTGGGCTGGCCCAAAGTAGTATAAGATTAAACATATAAACAACTACAGGCAGATACAGATGGGGAGGCCACAGGCACAGTAAGACAGCAATAGTCAGCACTGTAATTCCGGGCTTGGCATGTCAGCAGTATAATTGTTGTCAACTTTTTTTTACTGGTAAGTCATTGACAATTTTAAAGAGAGTTCTGAATGAGCATCATGAGGATGAGAACTCAAACTATAGGGGACATAAGAAAAATACACAAATTCTTGTGTTAAAAATGTAACAAGTTGACCAAAGAGGCTGCCCTCAAGAGCTGGAAGGGAGTTGTACTAGCCTGTCAGTATTAAATGAGGCATGCTATGCAGAGAACGATACGAAGGTATGGAAGATCTTGAAAACAAAGAATAATGACTTAGGCTGTTCTTCTGCCTTAATAAGGGTTTCCTGCTCCTTTTCATTTTAATTTTTCTTCTTTCCAAATGATTATTTCCACAAGCCAGGGGAAGTTTTTTGTTCTCATCTCTGCCAGTTAAAATCTTTGTGTGAACGTATGACCCACATCACTTAAATTCATTTGCTTAAAGAAATAGTTTTTGTGAGTTTGATTTTTTTTTTTCCCCTGGAGTAGAGAGATTGACTAGATCTGAGAGTATGGCCACAAAACCAGCCAGATTAGCACCACCAAGGCTGTCATTTGATGTTCCAAAGCATTTGGTAAGGGGTTCAGGTTATGTGAGCTTTTGCTAAGCCTTTCTGCCCCTAGAAAATACCAGTTCTTCTGGCGACTCTGCTTTCGTAACCACACTGTGAACTGGATTTGTGAATCAAAAAAAAAAAAAAAATCACAACAAATAATGTCATAGAATCATAGAATAGTTTGGGTTGGAAAGGACCTTAAGATCATCAAGTTCCAACCCCCCTGCCGTGGGCAGGGACACCTCGCTCTAAACCGTATCACCCAAGGCCTTGTCCAACCTGGACGTGAACACTGCCAGGGATGGAGCATTCACAACCTCCCTGGACAACCTATTCCAGTGCCTCACCACCCTCACAGGAAAGAATTTCCTCCTTATATCCAATCTAAACTTACCCTATTCAAGTTTTAACGCATTACCCCTTGTCCTATCACTACAGTCCCTAACGAAGAGTCCATCCCCAGCATCCCTGTAGGCCCCCTTCAGACACTGGAAGGCTGCTATGAGGTCTCCACGCAGCCTTCTCTTCTCCAGGCTGAACAGCCCCAACTTTCTCAGCCTATCTTCATAGAGGAGGTGCTCCAGTCTCCTGATCATCCTCGTGGCCCTCCTCTGGACTTGCTCCAACAGTTCCATGTCCTTTTTATGTTGAGGACACCAGAACTGCACACAGTACTCCCAAGTGAGGTCTCATGAGAGCAGAGTAAAGGGGCAGGATCACCTCCTTTGACCTGCTGGTCACACTCCTTTTGATGCAGCCCAGGATACGGTTGGCTTTCTAGCCTGCAGGCGCACACTGCTGGCTCACGTTCATTTTCTCATCGACCAGCACCCCCACGTCCTTCTCCGCAGGGCTGCTCTGAATCTCTTCTCTGCCCAGCCTGTAGCTGTGCCTGGGATTGCTCCGACCCAGGTGTAGGACCTTGCACTTGTTAGGTTTTGTTATTTGTAAATCCTTGGTCTACCCTTTTCCATCTCAGAGGCCAGGACTGGCACAGGGCAGCAACATAAGGCAGAGGATCAGGACAAGCAGCTGGTGCAAGGCATATCAGTGTGTTAAAATGATTGCCCAATGCTTTGTAGCACTGAACTCTTGCCTAAGGAGGTATAGATCTTGGCTGAACCCTGGCTGGTGCACAAGCTGTTGGTGAAAAGGGTATCTGTGCAGGACTGAACAGCAACTTCTACAACCAGGTCTACCACATGGAGACTTGCAATGCAGAACAGCCTTGAGTCTGACATGACCAGAAAGACAGAGACACTGAGGAAATGCAGATGCAGAAGAACGTCTTTTAAGTTTTGGCCTTGAAAAATTATCTTTGCAGCAGTAGTCTGTTTGTCTTAATAGAAAAACACTATCCTTATTATACTGCTGATTGTCATATTCTTTTGGGTGGAAGAGTCATTTTTATTCATGACTTAGTTTAACTCAACCATCCCTATGAATGTAATAATCAAAAAACATATAACAGCATGAGAAATAAGCTTCCAAATGAACATGACTAATTTCTTGCATAACCCCCCTCTCTTCTTATGTCCTATGCACCCACACTCTCTAGATAAATAGATGATGCATCCAGTTCAAAGGGTTTTTTTTTCCAAAGAAAAATCTTGGCTGAAAATGGTAAATTGAAGTGTTATCCCACACCTTTCACATAATTTGTTTTCTTGTGAGTAATCTGTTGTTTGCGTTTAAGTTTTCAGTGATGTCAGAATCATCAAATGAGGTGAGAGGAGGCCAAATGTGTCAGTAGGGCGCTGACTGAAGTGATGCTGTACTCAATTTACAAAGAACTCTATTAGTCCATCGCAGCCCAGAGTGTCAGTCAGATGTGGAGGATATGTGTGCTTTAAACTGGATGTACTGGGAACATGTAGAAACAGCAAATCCGTTAGTGTCAGCTTCCAATAATCCTTGTGATTCAGCTCCCAGTTACCCATGATCAGATTATCTGGTTTACAGATTACCTGTGCTAAGGGACCAAGGACAGATTGAGTGTTACTGAGTTTACTAGGTTGGGCTCCATGATACCTGAAATAATCTGTACTGATTCTTTACTACCAGCTTGGATCTAGAAAGACTGAAACTGAACAGGGGTTAAGTAAATACAACTTGAGCCAGACACCTTTCTCACCATGATCCCTCACACCAGCATTATTCAAAATTTTCTGTTGCTGGTGGCACAAACTACATAATGAAGAGTTTACTGTAAATCTGTTTCTTCCTTGGTGAAAATACACATGCATATTAATGTATAATAAAATATGTTTCCAAGGTTTACTCTGCCTGCTAGTTGTTAACCATCCCGAGCACTCACAGAAGGGAACTTTCTTCACAGAACGTAGCAGATATTAAGAAACTGAAGTCAGTTGGGATCTGCACAATCAAAGGAATCCAGATGACCACAAGACGGGCACTGTGCAATGTAAAAGGGCTTTCGGAGGCCAAAGTGGACAAGATTAAAGAAGCTGCAAACAAGCTTATTGTAAGCCATTCATTTTGCTGATGGTTTAAACTTATGCTGGACTCTCCAAAATGCTGGGCAACATTTCTTTGAGCAGATTTTTCCAGCACATCGTCAAGATAAGTTGTGAAAATTATTCTGCTTGTTACTCTAAAGGGATAATACTTTACAACAATCAGACAAATGCTGTTGTGCTTTTCATACCCATCCTATGTAAATGAGGCTAGGGTGGAGAGAAGATATTTATGTGGGATTACGGCACTTTACCTTTGGGTTAAAGCTAAAATAAGCCTTTCATGTTCTCGTTGGTCTTCCTTAGGAACCAGGCTTCCTGACTGCCTCTGAGTACAGTGAAAAACGGAAGATGGTATTTCATATTACTACTGGCAGCCAGGAATTTGAGTAAGCTTATCTCTGCTTAAATCCTGCCTTAATCCAAATTGTTCCAATAATCCTACTTATTGTCTTTAATGTGACACAAGAATATAAATGAATAAATATTCAGCTAGGACACGTAGGTTACCTTGCATTTGGAGCTGTGGCTAGCTCAAAGGTGCCTGCACCAGTAAGCAATAAAACCAACTCCTTTTCTGAAGGGAAACTGGACTTTGTACAGTCACTGTAAATAAACAGGGTTTGCATCTGGAAATCCCAAATGTATCATCATTTTCCACCTAATCAAAACAATCTGCAGGTCCAGGGTCAAAATTAATTCAAGACCTCCCTTGAGATAATTTTTATGGAGTGTTTTCTTTTCAAAGGTATTTTCTCTCTTCTTTCGAGTAGTAATTTCGATAGATCTTTCTCTTGCACACATAAAGGGAGGTTAATACAGAGTTAATTCATTATGAATCAGTGATCATTTAGTGCCCTGCAGGAATTAGGGCAGAAATAAATTTCTTAAAGTAGCAGAACTTTCTGGTTTTGACTTTCCTCTTGTGATTTGTGGGTCTAACTATTTCGTAATCCTCTCCCTTTCTCCAGTAAACTCCTGGGTGGTGGGATTGAAAGTATGGCAATCACCGAAGCCTTTGGAGGTGAGAAATAAGTATTATGGGACAACAAATTGCAACTTAGTTTAGCTTTTAAATTAAGATGGATTACTTTTATCAAACTTAGCCCATTGTAGTCATAAAGATGAGCACCCGCATGAGTGTAAGAAGAAAGAAACTGCTTCTCTTTTCCCATTATTCCTCTTCATTTGCTTGCAGGATTTGAGCTGAGTAATCATTAGACTTGGGGCATGCTGATTCAATAAACCACAACATTATTAATGCTGTTAGTAATGTGTCATATAGAAAAGATTTCCCCAACGCAATCTGTGTTCCTTTCCAGTAACAAAACTGCCACAGAAGGTATTTTATTTATGCACACTTAAGATACATTGCATTTCAAGTAAGATTTTGAAATTACAGTTAAACTACTATTACAGTAAATTTGATCAGTTAGTGGCAAACACTTCAAAACCAATAAGAGTTTATAAAACACAGTACTCTTCCCCTTAGAAAAGATAAACTGGGGACTTAACATGACTGGATATAATGAGATTAAATGCTCCATCGCTGGCAATATTCAAGGCCAGGCTGGACAGAGCCTTGGGTGACATGGTCTAGGCTGAGGTGTCCCCGCCTGTGGGAGGAGGGTTGGAACTAGATGATCTCAAGGTCCTTTCCAACCCAAACCATTCTATGATTCTATGATCATTTTACCAAAAATGAAACTAGGCCAGGTCATTGGAATCAGCCATTCCTTCACCCCTCCCTCAGTTAATGATTTTCCATAGGTGCCACATGGTTTTAACTTCTACACAGAAAAGAATAAATGATGTTAGCAGTCAAGCATGATTAAATTAAAGCAGTTCAGATTTTGCTTTTCATGTTACACACTTCTACTGCACAGAATATGATTTATAAATTGGGGTTAAATGATTGTAAAAGATAGGGATAGAGGTGAATTTTGTAAATAAGAGTGTTGCTAACTGCAGTAACTACTGAAAAAGAAACCCTGACATTTTTTATTTTCTTTTTCTTTTTCTGTTTCAACAGAGTTCCGGACAGGCAAAACCCAGCTAGCTCACACCCTTTGTGGTAGGTGTAATCCCTTAAAAAAGAGCGCTGTTTCTGTTCAGTGAATCCATTCTTTACAACTACATCAGAATTAAACACATAAGAGACAAGTTGGAATCCTTTATCTCTAGAAATACTGTGAAACAGACCCTGGTGACTCTGACAACCATTAATTGTGTCTGGGTAGAGAACTCACAGAAATGATTACTTTTTAATACTGCTCACATCACTGTAAGTTTTGCAATAAGCAGAGAGAAACTAACAGAATGTCCTATAGGAGCCAGTGAACCAGGCCATCTGGAAATAATGCACAAAGAAGGGTTACAGGTGGACAAAGCCATTGCTCAGAAAAGGGCAAAGGCAAGAGTCTCAGCAACTCCTCATTTTCTGGTTTCAAGAGGTTTTGCTGAATGTGACATTCTGAAAGGGCACTGAAGGGATACTTCTGGTGACAGGAGCTGGATAATCAAAATCTCTGGTAGTCACCATATTCAGGCAGTACCAGCTGATACAGCAGGACTCTGATTTCCAGCAACAGCTCTCAAGCTGTAAATAGTAGTAAATAATAACTAATGTAACTATTAATGCCTCTGGAATACATTTACCAGACATTGGGTAGGCAAACATTCCTTTAAATGAACCCTGTATTATACAGGAAATTATAGCACCTTCTGGAAAAATAAGCCCTCTTCTGTTGAGTGCAGTCTAATGGTCAGTGGAATCATACCCTTTTGATTGATTACAACAATCATACCCTAATGAATGATTACAACTGAATCAAGTATTTTAGCTTACTCACTCCAAAGAGACTAAACCCATAACCAGGAACTATTGGTGTATCAGGAAAAGTTCAAATTCAAATAATTTTTGATCGTATGAGTTACAGCTGGGAAAAAGTCCTACTAAATCAATATCATTAGTTCAGGCAGTGGAGTAAGAGGATGCTTTGAGCGTAAGAACTTACTAATAATATCCTTACCTATTTTCAATATAAAATACACAGATTTAGTGATGGTACTGAGTAAAACACAATTTTGACTATTATGTCTTATCTGATCTTCGTTTGAGAAAAAGGACTCGAGATTCTTCTCAAGATTACAGTTAAGAATTGAGATACTCCTGATTTCCAGGCTGATCACCAGGGTGGTGATATGGATAAGCAGTTGTATTTTATTATAAAATAATAATAGAGGGAGTAAGAAAATATTTTCTCTGCTTTTTCCTTTTTTATCTTGTATGAATTCACTGTAGTGACTGCTCAGCTTCCAGGACCAAATGGTTACACAGGTGGAAAGATTATCTTCATTGATACAGAAAACACTTTGTATCTTTTGGACTATTAAAGCTACAGGTAGGATGAACTGGAAAGACTGTTTTGTTATAAGCAAGTAGGAGGCTCCAGATAGCTTCACACTTGTAAAACATGGCTGACAGGAGAGAGCCTGGAGAGCACCGTGTGTAGAGACCCACAAGGCAGTGGCTTTTGTCTCAATGGAATCTGACTGGAAAACTTGGTTAGGATACAGATTTTATTTTAACTGGGAGTTTTTTCTGAGATCTAATATGCCTTCTACAGGTGATAGAAGCTTTTTTATATACTTCAAAAGAAATTCATGTAAGTACTAAACGCTATTTTTAACACTTCATATCTGTGGTAGACTGCATATAAATAGGTTTAGCTCACAGCTGAATTCCTAGAGCACAGATATCCATATGTCACACCCCCCCCTCAAACCCTGAACACAAAACAATTATCATCATGAGACCTAAGCTATCTTTAGGGTATGTGGAACAGTGTGAAGAGAAAAAGTCAATCTTCTCATGGATCAAAATAAATAATCTTTTTTTCTTTTCCCCCATAGTTCTATTTTGGAATGGAGGTTTATTATTTTCAGAACATGGTTTGTATAAAGAGAAATCCTTAACTTTGACTAACACCAGCAGACCAGACCGTCTCCGTGACATTGCTGATCGCTTCAGTCTTGACCATGACGCAGTACTGGACAATGTGTTGTATGCACGTGCATACACTAGTAAGACCATTCCTGCAACTGGCATCAGAGCTGTTTTTTCTTTGAGACTCCTGTTTTAATATTTCTCAGTTTATTAACTAAAGCTCCCCACTGAGGATCATAAAAAGTGTTTTTCTGCCAACAAAAGTTGTAAGCTTGCTTCCATTTTCTGTTTCTGGTGTTGTAAACTGGGGCCTACAAGAATGCCAGAGAGGGACTCTTCATCACGGACTGTAGCAGTAGGACAACGGGGAATGGGTTTAAACTTAAACATGGGAAGTTCAGGTTAGATATAAGGAAGAAGTTCTTTACTGTGAGGGTGGTAAGGCACTGGAACAGGCTGCCCAAAGAAATGGTAAATGCTCTGTTCCTGGCAGCATTCAAGGCCAGGCTGGACAGAGCCTTTGAGTAACATGGTCAAGTGGAAGGTGACTCTGCCTGTTGCAGGGGGGCTGAAACTAGATGATCCTAAGGTTGTTTCCAACCCAAACCATTCTATGATTCTATTTCAGCTCAGCAGCACTATATAAAGTTTTGCAGTTTGCCACAACAAGGAGTGAACTCTGCTGGTTGCATGACAAGTGGCAGTGTAGGATCTTAGTAAGAGAAGCATCGACCAATGTAACCATAATTGCCTGGATGAAAGCTAATTCTATAAACACTGTTGAGAAATTCTCCATGGTCTTGTGAATGGGACTTCACAGGAACAAATCCAGCACACTCTGTCACAAGATACTGCCTTAAAACTTCAAGGAAGTTTTAAATGGGACTTTCACTTTGCAAGTACAATGTGTATATGAATAATACGATTAATACTATTTCTGTGTGTCATTGAACTCCACATTAGATTCAAATGTTTATACTGCTTTTCAGTTCTTAACATAAATACAATGTCTTCATGCAGAGTTTTCTTGTAAAGCTTTTCACAAGGAGGTTTTGCTAGAAACTGGTACCTGCAGAAGCACAGGCACTGTGGGATATTGTAGAGGCAGCTTGGTTTTGGGTGCTGGATTTAACACTGTTGGCAGTGAAAATACAAACAGTGCAGACATTTAAAGTGGAATTTTAAAATTCAGGCTTTTGTGTCTTCAGAGCTCTTTTGGCCCTAATTTCACTTGGCAACTGTACTTCCCACCAGGTGAACATCAGATGGAATTGCTTGACTATGTAGCAGCCAAGTTCCATGAGGAAGCTGATATTTTCAAGCTATTGGTACAAGATTAATTTTATTATCATTATTACTGCTTTTAGTATAGGTTCTGTTATTTTCTTTCGCTGTATTTACTTACTGAATATAATTACAATGCAGATCATTGACTCCATAATGGCACTTTTCCGTGTGGATTTCAGTGGTCGTGGGGAGTTGGCTGAACGACAACAGAAACTCGCTCAGATGCTGTCAAGGCTCCAAAAAATATCAGAAGGTGAGAGAAACATGATAAAATTCAGAAAACATGGACTAGAGTTACTGCAACAGTAACTGTTAGTAGCACAACCACCTCATAGTCCAAGTGTGTTATTGATCAGGCATTGGCATTTCTTCACTTTACACCTCTGTCAGTTACCAAAAAGAACAAATTGATAGTGCAGTATTTCAAGATGACAGATTAAGGAATCTTTAGAACTATTCAACATTTAGAGTTTTTCTAGAAATACGGTTAAGACAAGTCTTAAATGAGAGAACAGGTTGTAGAACTGGAGAAATACCCGCCATGAGAAACCATGCTCCCCAAGTCTCGACAGTCTAAGTACACAAGCAACATGAGGAATACACAAAAGGATGAAGGCTCAGAGCCATAAAAAACTGTACCCATCACCACCTTCCCAGTACTTTGAAATGCTCTGAGGGATGAAGACAGGATGAATAGTGTTCTCCCTCTTTAGAATGTCTCAGGAATGTTGAGGAGGAATGAGTAAATGACTTTTTTTCATGTGGTAAATTAAAAAAACCCCAGCAAAACAACAAAGGGAGGGAGAGGGGGCTGCAGGCAGGGAGCCAGCCGAGTAGATGGGAACTGAGAAAGACTTGTTCAGTGCAACTCTGAAAAGTGCTCATTTTTGGCATAAGTATTACAGCTGACATCACACAGCAGCAAATTTAGGCTGTCTCCTGATTAACTCCAACCATCAGATGTAAAGAATATTTGCTTCTCTTGCACTTGAAAACTGAGGAGTTTCAGCAGCAGCCTGGCTTTTCCCATGGGTGGGAGAATATTTTGGAATTAGAATTGGATTTGGTCAACCCTCTTTGCGTTGTTTTCTATTGCAGAATATAATGTGGCCGTGTTTGTGACCAACCAGATGACTGCTGATCCAGGAGCAACGATGACGTAAGATACTTCTCTCTTTACCAAAACTTCCTGTCCTCTGTATTACCTATTTAATAGAAAGGAGAGATGAGATTGTATGGAGCAAGAGGCACCAAAATTAAGGTTCAGATTGCTCACTGGTCCCTTTAGTACAATGAATCATTCATGGATGACAACTATAGGTTTCTCTCAGTCTTTGTTATGAGATTTTTTATGTTTACCTGCTGCCTGGTATGATGGCCTCTTTCATTGTGACTTGAACAAAGAGAACAAGCCATATAAAGTACTGAAAAGGCACTCCATTTTCTTTTGGAACAATTATATATGGAGCTTAAGATGTGTATTTCTTGAGCCTCTTGAATTTAGTGAGAGAAAAATTACGCCAGCATTGAACATTTGAACATCCTATTCTGAGGCAAGTGTGTTAAAGTCCTTTTTTGAGATATTTAACTGATTATTTACTACTTAGTTCAACATGCCTTGTCTGTCAGTTAATCACAGTATTGACCTATGGAGTTTTCACAATTTTCTTGCTAATTTAGCTTTCAGGCAGACCCAAAAAAGCCCATTGGGGGCCATATCCTTGCTCATGCTTCAACCACCAGGATTAGCTTGAGAAAAGGGAGAGGGGAGCTGCGTATTGCAAAGATATATGACAGGTAAATCACCCTTCCTTCATAGGAAGGAAGTTGTGTTATGAGCAACTGCAAGGTGACAAAGTTCATGGGACTGAAACTTAATGGTTTGACAGAGATTTAGAGTTTCAAACTAACCACATTTCTGGATGGTAAATTGAGAGAAAATCTGACAGGACAAAGTAATTAACAGACTTACAGTTGTCTTGTGTATTGCCTGCATTAAACTATATTTTTCATCATAAATCCTACTAGATGCTTATCTCTTAAAGAAGACCATCAAATAGTTTGGCAACTCTAGTGGTCCCTTGGCAGGAAAATTTCAGAGATGTTAAATTACCAAGTTTTGCTGACTCCATTAGTATCAGTTTACATGGTAAGCTGTGGCAGGCATAAGTCACTAAAAATCACACCAGAACTACACAGACAGATCAGTGTTTCTGGTTAGGAACTAAGAAACCGAAATGAGAGTTTACACAGAGAAAACCTTTCCTTGTCCTGCACCTTCTCCATTTCATAGAATCATAGAATTTCCCTCCATTGTGTTGGATTTCACATTTGCTGATCTTGGTAATATTTATCACGTTCTACAGCTTACATACAGGCATAAAGACAATGTATATGTAACCAATCTGGAATACTTCAACAATTTGGGGACCATTTCACAACTGCATTTAGCATGGGGAAACCCACATCTTTGTTGTTTCCTTTTTTCCTAGCCCTGAGATGCCTGAAAATGAAGCCACGTTTGCAATAACTGCTGGAGGGATTGGGGATGCCAAAGAATAGGCAGAAAAAAATGATGTAAGTGTACAGCTGAAAACAACATGGGTAACTGTGGTGAACATCCGTGTGAGGTCACCAACTGCCTGGCTGCATTTCGAGAACACTGGGATGAATTTTATACAGTTCAGTTTTATTGATCCTAGTAAGATTTGGTTCAGTTCGGGTCTTTGTTTTACAACTGAACTCAGCAGACAAAGTTCTAAGAAATAAGCTTGTGAATTGTTCAAAGAAGCCTTTTCTTACATTTTGTGAAAATCAAAGCTGTCCTTTCACATAAAATCAAAATACACTTTTTTAGTTTCTTTCAAAGAAAGTGGTTATGTGGTAAAATTTAATAGTGTGAAATGGAACGGAATTGGAACAAACTCAGTTATAAAACTGATATAAATAGATGAAAAAAGCAGTGGCAGGAGCAACAGCCCAAGAACTTGGTGGACCCTCACGTACCATACAAGAACATGTTGCTTAAAAAATGTGTTTTCAAGCATATTTATCTTGATTAGATAATTTTGTATTTTTATTTAGCATTCTCTACTTTTTGGAAAGAATGTTTTCAAACTGTTCATCTTAAAGTTAAAAATAAAGATTACGAACCACACTCTGCTTCTGTTTGGGTGCTTTAAATCAAACCCTGCTCTCAATAATCTCACTGATCTTTCAGAATGCAATCCCACATTTTAACACCTTTTGTCTGGTTCTCTAAAGAAACAACCTTTATAGAATTTGCCTTGTCAGTCTCCTAACATAAGTAAGAATATTAACATTATTAAATAATATTATTATTAAAAAGCAGATGAAAGCAAAACCAGTGGCTAGATAGTGTAGATAGGCTGACACCAATACTTACATTGCTAACGCATGTAAGAGGACACGAAGTAAAAACACAGTGATGACCAGAAATTCATGCAAGAAAAGCCTGACCCTGTGACAGACCTAGAATTTGCCTTCTTCAAGTGGTTTCCTAACAGATCTCTGTTAGGAGGTAAAGACGTTCCTGAGGTAAAGCACAATTTTTAACAGTGGAGAGGACTCTAGAAAGAGAGGCAGGGAGGTCAGCTGATCTCTGAAGCTGGATGGAAGGCATCAGCCATTGTCAGTCCAGTTCTCTATATGCCAGTCCTTCCCACACCAGGCATTTGTATGTAACGGCCGCATACTGAAAGTTGGTGAGAGCATATGGTGTCACTTGACTCCCTCCCACCCACTTAAAAGGCCCAAGTTTCTTCCAACATTTTATTTCAAGCACCAAGACTGCTTTTTGCTTTCCTACATATGCCATACGTACACGCACGCAGTAAGTACAACCAGAACAGTAAACAGCTTGTGTTCTCATTCCAGGCCAAGTTATTTGTTTCAAGTCTGTGAAAGTGAAGGGGACACACTTTCCCTTCTGCCATCCTGCCTGACTTGTGATCATGTGACAGCCCAGAAAGCTCTGCCGATGGTGCAGCAGCAGTTGGGGCGTGGGTTTGGCCAGGCTGGTGAGCACAGACCACCGCACCAGACATGGCTTCTTGTGCAGGGACAGACCACTTGGCTACTTGTTGGTAGGTACCAAAACCCTGAGCACAGCACAAAAGACCTTGCAACCTATGCCATGCAGTTGCTCCTGGCTTATTTTATCTTATAGATGGGAGTGTCTGGTTGATCTAGGCAGTGAGACACTAGCAGCCCATAAATACAGTGTCAATGCCATGCCCGGTGTCCTTCGAGTACTTAAATAATTTCTCTGACCGCCTGCAATTAACACCGCAGTGGCCAAAGAGGGGGAATTCGTTTACGTTCCGGAAAGGCTGCTGTGACCCGCCTGCAGCTCCGGAGGGGGTCCATGACCGAAGGCTGCTGGCATGCCACTTCCTCCCGGTATCTTGGCACTTGGGTGAAAGCAGACATCACGGCTGCTATCTCCCAGATACCCTTCGTACTCCAGATACCCTTCGTACTCTGCCAGGGATAAAAACAGAGGGAAACATCCAGCGCACCAGCCCCACGCGGCCCCGCCGCCCTCCGCTCCCGTTATTGTTTTCTCAGCTCCGCTGCCATCTTCCCGGGGGCCAACGACTGCCTAGGCAAAAAGCCGTATTCTCCAAACCCGACTACGCAGCATAATTAACGTAATAGGCCGGACCCCCTGCCAACCCTTCCTGCACAATCCGCGGGAGAATTTTACGCAAAACGCACGGCCTCTTCCTGCCCTACGCCGGTCTGAGTTACGCAACTCGCGTACGCCCGGTACTTACGTGACGTACGCCTCAGCCTAGCTTTTCCTTACCATCCTGAAGGGGTTACGGCATTGACTCTTTACGTAACAGACTTTGAGGAATAGGGAGAGCGTTACTCATCTCCCTCCCTTCATCACGCGGGGCTCGACTTAAGTCAAGAACGCTACGCACCTTTCGTACCCTGCCTGCCGCGCGGACCAGCGTTTTTCCAAGCGAGCTTAGAGTGTAGTTGGTTTCTGGGAATAGGCGTAGATATTTTCGAGGGCCGCAGTTTGCGCAGCGCCGGGCCGCCCGTAACGTAACCGAAGCGGGCTGGGGCGGCGGCAGCCATTTTGTGCCGGGAACCCGGAGGAAGAAGACGCTGGTGTCTCCACACTTCACGGGCCCTGGAGCCGACCGAGAACCCCGGCGTTCCCTCCGCCGACGTCCAGCGGGTCTCTGACCCACTGACCACCTCTTCTCCTTTTGTATCCCACCAAAGAAGCGAGGTGGCGCAAAGCGATTCCTCCGAGACACAGCCGCCTCTGGCTGGCCCGTCTCCTCGAACCCCCAGTCCCTCGCCGTCCCCACGGCCGGCATTCCGCTGCCTCTCTCCCACCCCTCCGGGTGCGATGAGAGGCTTCGGGGACCGGGGCCGCGACCGTGACCGCGGCGGGTAAGGGGAGGGGGCAGGCCGGGCCGGGGGGAGGTGACGGGGCTGTGGAGGGAGCCGTTTCCCTCGCGTTGGGGGCCTGGTGAGGGGGAAGGCCGGGGAGTCGCCGTGGGAACGAGGGGGGTGCGTTCTGCTGGTGGTACTGGGGGAGCTTTTGCTCCAGAAATCCTCGGGGGGAGGGGGGAAGGGGGTTGGAGACTTTATTAGTAGTGCTCTGGCAGCAAGGCGGGGGGTGGGCTGAGGGGGTTTATTTGGCTTTACTATCGTTCGTGTGTAACCGTGTGTCCCTGCTTGAAGTTTTAGGGCCTGCATTCCGCTCCCCCCCCCCCCCCCCATTTATTTTCTGCCACCTTTCGTTATCCTGCTTCCTCCCCCCAAGCCACCAAGGTCTTGGTGGCCCGGGCAAGGGTGTTTGGACGGGCTGCCCTTCCGATTGTCATTGCTCCTTCTGGACTGGCTAGAAAGATGGCATTTGGTGAAGGATATTTCTCAGTTGTGCTCCCGAGCTTTATCGTGAGAGGAAATGAGATCGAAAGGTGCTGCCGTGCAGGGGATTTGGATCCTCGGGAGGGTGATCTCGGTAAACCTGGCTCTGGACCAGACTTCAGGAGCATGACCACGCTTACGTAGCAGTCAGACAGGACTTGTATGTGTGACACTGCAGAGGCCTAGTCCTTGATACTCTTGAATCTGCTGTTTACAGGAAGTGTGGCTTGCAGAAGGGTTCTGCAGGTTTGATTATTATTTTTTTCCTCTTCCGAGTGTGGCAGCAGTAAACACAATGACATTATAGTATATGACTGGTTTAGGACTTGAGTTTTTTTAAGGGTTGAAAGTACTTAGACATTGATTCCAGGCCTTTTTAAAGAGGAAAATTTAGGAGAGCAGCTTTTTCTGTCCTCCAGATGAGTAGTTAGGCCTTCATTCCCAAGGACTGACAATAAATGTGGGTACTGTTGTTCTTACCATGAAGGCTAGGTCAGTTGGTAAGTCTCCCCCACCCACTTCTTTCCTTTATTGTTTTCCCTCCACACTGGGAGATTTGTGTATATTTTGTTATATATTGCAGGGCATTTTAACATGTAGTTTCCTGTTGCCTGTGGCGAGAGATTAGTTGTATCCTTGCGTTATCTTACACCCACATTTCACACTCTGAAATTAAAAGATACTTTTTTTTTTTCTCAGGGGAGAGTTCTGGTGTTTTTCCACTAGCAGAGTTCCAGCGTAGTTTTTAACCCAAGAACACTGGAGTAAATGCATTGGCAAGTGTGAGATAGTTCAAACCCCAGCTGTTTTGGGAGTTTAGTGAGTGAGTTTGAGTATGCGGCTTTACATACAGTTGCTTAACACAGGCCAAAGTGTTGTCACAATGCTTGGCGTGCCTTAACATTTTTGTAATCTCATCTTGCATAAAGACTTTGATTATAGGTGAGTGTTTCACTCTTAGGGGTTTTGCATGAGTGAAAGGAGTGCCTACATTTTGCAATTTTTGGACATTTGCATGGAAAATCTTTTTCTTGGCATGTTATCCTGGAAGCTTTAATGCATAGGGATTCAGTTTATTAGTTATGTTTAATGGTTACAAATATTTTCATACCTTAACATCATACATCATAAATAACTTCTATAAATTTTTGGGCCATTTTAAAGTTTATCACCTTTTCATTGCTGATTCTTTCATAGGCCAACCAAATGAAATACAGGCTTTCTGGTTTCCTCCTGTCAGGTGCGAGTTGTAGGTGATTTCTTAGAATTGAAAGTTGTACTATTTTGCTCTGGAATATAACAAATTTAATCAGTTCTGCCCCAGAAATTATGGCACCAGTAACACTAGAGAATGTTTTGAGTTGATCCGAATTTAACACTTGAAAACTGTTGGCAAATCAGTGGAATAATCTTAGATTCAAATCAGTTAACTGGAATTTGAATCTTTTTTGACTTGTATTCAGAATGTAAAGTGCCAGTTACTGCCAGTTTAGCTGATAAATTTAAGCAGAGTCAGTGTTCAAGGACTGCTGCAGGGCTCACTTCTGTCAGGTCAGTACACAGGCAAAAATGGAGACCTGAAACTATTTGCCTTCTGTATAAAACACATCAGTTCTTCCCTCTGGATAGCTATGGAGCAAGTATTTGTAGTACTCAGCAGTTTTCAGTGTCCAGTTTTGCAATCAATTCTTTATGTGTTTCATAATGAAACTTGACTGAAACTTTGACCCTCCAGTTGATTTCAGTGAGACGATAGGTTTTGTTAGCACTACTTGGATATAGAAATAGTTGTCATTTTGACCTCAAGTGAGCATGAGCAACAGGAAACACCTCCAGTATAGGTGAATGTGCCTGTAAATTAAAATCTATGCTTTTATTCTTTTTTTCCACTTTGATCTGAAATAAAATGTAGTGGTTAAATGAATTTTTGAAGTTGCCTTCCACAGGCGTGTTACAAAAGTTGCTGAGCATGCAGCTTGTCTGGGACATCCCATAGGCATACCAAGGAGAAAATAAAGTATATTTGTAAGAGGGGAATGAGACTGAACGCACAGTTGCAACAAAGCAAACATTAAAAAAATTACTTAGCAGGTTTTAAGTTAAATTATCAACCATACTTAGCTTTTCCAACAATGCAGCCTCTTCTTTTTGTTAATGTGTTGATTTAAGTTCTTTTTTTCTGGTCTGTCAATCACTATAATTTGTAGTTTTCACTGGAAGCAATTTGAAGACTAAATGTAGTTAATGGCTGAACAGAGTCTTGTGCTTCAGATAATTCAGAAATTTATTTCAGCTCTTCCTTTTTTAGCACCCCTCTCCTCCCAGGTTGTTCATGTCAAAAGACTGCTTTAGGTTTTCTGTTGCTTTTTGTTTGTTTCATTAATAGTTGTTTTTTTTTTTTTTTTTTTTTTTCTTTTTACTAGCTGATTGCCTGGGTTTGGTGCAGCCACTTTGGATTTGCTGTCTAAATAGAAGTCTTGTTTTACATGGGCATTTCTCATGAATCCGTATTTTGGAGAAGGCTGTAGCTTTCTTAAGCAAAATCTGAATTAGAACAAAATTTGATAGCATTGGGAAAAATACCTTCTGCTGTGTTTGTAGAGTACTGATGAGAGTGCTGTGACTTTTTCTGGTGGAATTTTAAAATACATACTTTTATATTATTCACAATAAATAGTCATTATGTGCCACTCAGTTTTCAGTTATTATTCCAGATTATTGGCAGAAGCTCATGCTGTGTCTAATGCCTTAACGAGTGATTACAGTCAGTTCTTAACCTTCTAAAGAGTATTACATTGACTGTGTGAAAACTTAATGTGAGCAAGAAGACTTGCATGAGAGAGTAAAAGCAGTAGCTCCTGAGTTGTTCTGCTGCTTAGGATTTTTTTAGTAAACATTAGCTTTTTACTTTCTTGAGTCTTCCTCCAAAGCATTTGAGAGGTGGTATGATTTTTCCCACATACCTTTTTTGTTTTGGGCTTGTTGTTTTTTTTTTTCCCTGTTAGGCTCTTGTTTAAAGAAAAAATACACATTTTTTTAATTGCTTTGGTTTCAGATCCACAGATGGACTTCAGGCTTGGCTGGGCTTATGTCCTTTCTGTTCCTCACTCTTGGTTTGCTTGATAAAAGAAAAGACATAGAGGGGGAGACAGTGAAGTAGCTATTTTTGGTGCAAGACTAACCTTGGGAGATGTACAAGGAACTTATCATTAGAGATTTTTGTCATCCCTTTCATCTAACTGTGTTTTAAGTGTACTGTCAGTTTCAAGAAGAGGTAAGTGCTGTAGCTGTACCCACAGAGTTGTCCTGAGGGAGGACAGAAACCAAGAGACAGGAGCTTTAAGGCAGTGATTTACAAATGGCTGTACTGGATGATGATTTGGGGTTTAAAACTGACTAAAGCAGTTATGTTATTTCAGGAAGTTGCTTGCCATCATAGTGATAGGCAGGGGGTGACTTAGCTAGGTTACTGTGCTCATGTGTCAGCTTGGGGAAAAAAGAGTGGAAATGCTTAAGAAAACTCTGTAAATTCCAGAGGAATTAAGTACTGTCTTACAACTAACAATGACATTTGCAGGTTTGGAGCAAGTCGTGGAGGTCCTCTTCCTCCAAAGAAATTTGGTAATCCGGGGGAACGTTTACGGAAGAAAAAATGGGATTTAAGTGAGCTGCCCAAGTTTGAGAAGAATTTTTACGTGGAGCATCCAGAAGTGGCCAGGCTTACTCCGGTAGGTTTTCACAGCCTGTCTGTTCCATTTTGCCTACAACAGAAAATGTCACAAGTGGAAAAACTTGGAAGCATGGGGAAGTGTGTCATAGAACTGTCTCTTCCTTAAGCTGTGTTGGTACAGATGCTGTTTCTAGTTGCCTTCAGTAACTTTGCATTCAGTAAAGGTGGCATTTCTGCTGTTAGCTGATTTTATATGAGAATATTTTACATTTGATCTTTTGTAATTTATCGTCATAATGCTTGTCTGGTCTAGCTATTTGTCAGTGTAGATAAGACTTGGAGAATTTCAGAATTGTAGTACTGGGAATGCCCTGGAGGAACCTAAACTAGTAAATTAAGAGTTGCAGAAATGCACGAGAAAGGTTCAAAAGTAATATTATATCATAATAATAATTGAGGCTGAAAGAGGCCATGGGAGATCTCTATTCTAACTCTCTACTCAGAGCAGGGCTAATTACAAAACCAGAGCAGGTTGCTTAGCACCTTGTCCTTTTGAGTTTGAATATCCCCAGGGATGGGGAGTTTTTTATATCCTTTCTGGGTGGTTGTCCCATGGCTTAATGTTTCTCATGGTATTTCACTCCCCCCAGAAAACAGATTTGCAGCATTTTCTCTATAGTGACCCATTGGGTAGTTGAAAGTTTGAGCTAAATTGCCTTGTTAGACCTCTTTTTCCCAAGCTAAACAAACCCAGCGCTCGTTTTTTATCATACAGTCTGAATTCCAGCCTCTGGATTTCTCCCCATAATCGGACATGCCCTGGTAAAACAATGTCCTTATACTGGGGGCACAAAACTAGGTACAGTACCTTGTGTTTACTCTGTAGATATAGTAATCCCCCCCTTCCTACTCAACTTGAGTCTAGTCCTTTTTTCCCCCTCTTTAATGTCTTTGGTATTTAGAAATTAAGAGATTTCATCCTTAACATGAGGACACAAACAAATGTTCTTACCCAGTTCCATAGTCTTAGAAATCTTAACATGAAGTATTCATGAGATACAGATGTGGCATGAAGGAATTGAAGGAGACACTGGCTTTTTAAAGATAAAACAGCTGGAACTACTGAACCACAGTCAGCGTTCGCAGCTGTAGCTGTCTTTGCCGTGGCAAACTCAAAGGATTTTCACATTTTTCCCAAAAGTTTCTTTTTTACCATTTCATTCAAGCTCAAGAGATTCTGACAAATAATTTACTGCTTTGGATAAAGTGCTCGTTTGGTGTTTGATGCGTATCTTTCTGTTGATATTTAATGAGCATTAGAATAAGTTCATGAATTGTGGAAGCATGTTGCAAAATCCAGTTGGACTTGCAAGGTAGGCTAGACAAAGATGAAACACTACTTCTAAGCCTAAAATTATGCTTATGTGGATACACATTTCAGAAATATTTTAAGAAGTTCCATTATTATAAAAACTTGGGAGGTCTTAGGGTCTCATTATTATGTTGCCTGGGCTCTTTTTTATTCAGGAAAGAAGTGCTGGTTCTGAAAAGATTCCAGGCAACATTGCTGAGTTGCAAGTTGACCAGCAAGAGCTCTGTGTTTAATCACCTCTGCAATGTCTTAATTGAAGGAGAGGACTGCCCTGCCTTCAGCTTGGTCAGAGTATATTGGGGTTGATTTATTTTATTTAGTTAGTAGCACTGTCACATGAAATATGTTTCTTATTAGAAATGGAGGATCAGATAACTTTTGAAGCTTTTTGTCATTTCTGGCTTCTGGAAAAAAAAAAGTCTTTTAATTCCTACGAATACTATATTGATAACACTTTTCATTAAAAAGGGCTGGTTGGAAGGAGAGACGTTAGTCTTTCTAAGCTACGTAGAGAGCTTTTACCTCTGAATATTGGAGAAGCTGTGTGATAGCTCAGTCCTAAAAACAAAATCCTTAGGAAAGCTGTCATCTTAGATGTCTGTTTCAACTCGGTTCTCTAACAAAGTGGTTACCCAGAGGTGTGAAGGCCATTAGTAGTTAGAAACATGCGTTTTAAGTCCCTGCTGACATTCAGCATTCATCTTTGTGTTTTTTATTTCCCACATAAATAGTATGAAGTTGAAGAATTGCGCAGAAAGAAAGAGATAACAATCCGAGGGATGGAAGGCTGCCCTAAGCCTGTGTTTGCCTTCCACCAGTGCAGCTTTCCACGTAAGTATTTTGCCATTCTTTAAGATCACGAGGATTACTGGGAAACAGTAACAGGCCTGTTCTGTTTTCTAAAAGGTTTTCTGAAGCTTCAGTTATCCTTTTAAGAATTCTTTTTCTTTTCTTAAATTCTTAAGAGTATGTGATGGATGCTTTGATGGACCAGAATTTTACAGAACCCACTCCAATTCAGTGCCAAGGCTTTCCACTAGCCCTCAGTGGTCGTGATATGGTGGGCATTGCGCAGACTGGCTCTGGGAAGACGCTGGCAGTATGTATTCTTCCCTTTTATTTATTTAGCTTCCTAGTTGCTTTACAGAAACTACCCTTTGCTACTTGTTAGTAGTGGGGCTTTTCAGTATTACAGGTATCAAGTGAGATGATGACGTGTTTTTAAAACTTGTTTTACAGCGTCATGGTTGAAACTTCAGTTTCAACTCAGCAAGTCTGTCTTATTCACAGGCAATGTTTTGCCTCTCTTTTGGGATGCTTAGTCACTTCCCTTTGGTCTAGGCTTACACTGTGGTTTAAAAACCAGTACATGCTGTTATGCAAGTTAAATGTTTGAGTCTTCAAGGTATATGTTAATTTTATTTGCAGTGATTAGGAAGGAATTTTATTCTTCATGAAAAGCTAGGGCTCAGTTCTGCTAACTTGGACTCCAAATTTAAGTGAGCTTTCCTTTTACAGGTACTGAGCAGCTATATTTTGCGCTCATACCAAAGCAGATACAGTTGATCAGCAGCTCTGAAAATCTTCTGTTCTGTCAGATAAATGCAAGTATTTGTTTTTGCAGAAGTATTTTTATATAGCCAAGGATTCTTGCTGTGTCTCGCATCAGGTGTTAGTTTCTTGAAAGAATGTTAGGCTAAAGGGGCTCTGCTGTAATCCATTTGTCATGGCAGGAGGTTGTTGGCATTAAATATCGAAGTCCTGTGTCTTGACTTAAAATTCTTCTGTTTTAGTACTTGTTGCCTGCAATTGTTCACATCAACCACCAGCCATATTTGGAGAGAGGGGATGGCCCAATTGTAAGTGCTTGTTGATTCTCTTCCTTCTTGTGTATATGGCACGGCATTGTTAATGTGTACTTTAATTGGTACATCAGAACAGGAAGTAGAGAAATGTTTACTATCACAATGTGAACATCCCACTCAGTTGAGATTCTGTGCATTTGCTGACATAGTCTAAAGATATTTAAATGTTTTAGATAATAAAGACCATATGGTCCAACTTCGCTTATGGTATCTATTCGGAGCCCTTAAGTTAGGGATATGTATGCAGCTTGGTTATCCTGAATTGATTCTGGAGCTGTTCAGCCTGGAGAAGACAAGCTGCGTGGAGACCTCAGAGCAGCCATCCAGGTATCTGGAGGGGGCCTGCAGAGATTCTGGAGAGGGACTCTTCTTCAGGGACTGTAGCGATAGAACAAGGGGCAGTAGGTTCAAACTCAAATGGGTGGGACTTAGATTAGAAACGAGGAAGAAATTCTTTATAGTGAGAATGGTGAAGGCTGCCAGGGAAACTGTGGTTGCCCCATCCCTGGCAGTGTTCAAGGCCAGGCTGGACACAGACTTGGAAAAACCAGGTCTAGTGTGAGGTGTCCCTGCTCATGGCAGGGGGGTTGGAACTAGATGATCTTAAGGACCTTTCCAATCCTAAACATTCTGTGATTCTGATTCCTTTTGCAGTGTCTGGTTCTAGCACCTACTAGAGAGTTGGCCCAGCAAGTACAGCAGGTGGCTGATGATTATGGCAAGTGTTCAAGGCTGAAGAGTACCTGCATATATGGAGGGGCACCCAAAGGTCCCCAGATCAGGGATCTGGAAAGAGGTAATTTTAAAATGAGTGTTTGCAGTTTCTGGAGGAGGGGCTATTGTAGAATCTCTGTAAAATCACCTTCTTAAAACCTTTTTGGAAGGGGGTGTGTATGAATGAATCTCCAGTTGCAGTGATACTTTATGAGGTAGGTTCTCTGTTGTGTAGTGACTTACTTGAATATTAGGTTTCATTTTTATTTTCTCTTTGAACTTGTGAAGATCATCAGGACATCAGAAGGGGGAAAAGAAAGCTTAGTAGAAAGATGTTATTTTGAGGAAATGCAGTAGCAGCAGGACTATGTTCAGATCCATGTGGGAAACACCCCAGCTGTGATCTTTGGGGTATTTAGTGAATTTACTTCAGAGAAGTACATCACTGACAACAGAGATTGCAGTTTATTCAATCTCCCTGCAGGCCACTGCCTCCATTAGGAATCTAATTCTTGTATGAGTTTTACAGAAACTGGAAGAACACCCAGCTTTGTGGTCTGAAGGGTCCAGGTTGACACAAAGATCTGCAAAAATACTCTGCATCTCTAAGTACAGTATCAAGAAAGCTGCTAGGGTTTTGCTCTTCCCCATCTCCTTGCTTCCCTAAATTTACCTTATGTGAACATTTCAGTGACACTGAAGGACTTGCCTGTAAGATTTGGAAATTGGTGGAAACCAGTCCCTGTTAAGTAATGTATAAATTACGAATTGTCATACCCAGTATTGGTTTATGACTGTTTGAAGTTTGTTTTTACGCTAACATATGCAGGCAGGATGGTTATCTGTCACTATTGGTTCATAATTGCTCAGTATTAAAGCCAAAAGGTGGAAGTAACTTGACCTGCATAGCAAGAGAAGCACTTCGTGTTTGATTAACATGGGCAGTTTAGCTGGAGTTTGCTCTTTTTCTAGAGAGCTGTCTAGACTAAATAGTTCTGGATGAAGGTGGGTCAGGCTTGAGGAGAAGTGTATTGTACTCTTGATTTTTGGACAGCTCTTCACTGGTGTTTTCTGACAGTAAGCTTTTAGCTTCTATACTGCATTTATTATTTTAATGGCACTGTAACAGTAATTTCAGAATGAAAAAAAAAATGAGGGCTTCTACTGAAATGACTCAGTCTTGGGTAGGAATGAGGGTGGTGCTTTTTTTTTTTCCCCTGAAACAATTTTGCTCTGGAAGGTGATTCATTCTGACTAAAAATACTGATTGACATTCAAATGAAGAGCCTTAATCTTTTTCCTTACTCTTTTTTGAAGGTGTGGAGATCTGCATTGCTACACCAGGTCGCTTGATTGACTTCCTTGAAGCAGGAAAGACCAACCTTCGTCGGTGTACATACCTGGTGCTGGATGAAGCAGACAGAATGTTGGACATGGGATTTGAACCCCAAATTCGTAAAATTGTTGACCAGATAAGGGTGTGTGAACCTTGTAAAAAGGATGGATCCTCTGGTTTCCCATTCAGTGTTCAGTACCTTAAATCATTAAATGAATCTGTATTCCCTTTTTCTTAGCCTGACAGACAGACCCTGATGTGGAGTGCGACCTGGCCAAAAGAAGTGCGCCAGCTTGCTGAGGACTTTCTGCAGGACTACGTTCAGATCAATGTGGGAAACTTGGAGCTGAGTGCCAACCACAATATCCTGCAGATAGTGGATGTATGCATGGAAAGCGAGAAAGACCATAAGTAAGCTGATTTTCCTACCATTTCACTTGGGTTTTTTTGGCTGTACTTGAAGAACCAACACTATTTTGTGAGCCAGATACAAATTCTGAATAGTGAAGTTATTTGTAGTATTATTTAATCTTGGACTGTTACAAAATAAGTCAATCCTGTAATTGACTTACCTTTTGTGTATGTTCTAACTGTACCGTTGTACAACAGACCTACGTAGAATCATAGAATGGTAAAGGTTGGAAAGGACCTTAAGATCATCTAGTTCCAACCCCCCTGCCATGGGCAGGGACACCTCACCCTAGATTGTGTTGCTTAAGGCTCTGTCCAGTCTGGCATTGAACGCTGCCAGGGATGGAGCATTTACCGCTTCTTTTTGGCACCCTGTTCCAGTGGCTCACCACCCTCACAGTTAAGAGCATTAGGTGTGATACCTACTTATTTTTGGGGATGTGTGTTGTGCATGTATCCAAAAGGGTGCTCCTATATTCTTGTATATGTGGATATACATCTTAGCTGTCATGTCTGTTTTAGACTGATACAACTGATGGAAGAAATCATGGCAGAGAAAGAAAACAAGACTATCATCTTTGTGGAGACAAAGAGGCGTTGTGATGATCTCACTCGAAGGATGCGCAGAGATGGGTGATTAGCTTTTCCTCTCCTTCCCCTTCTTTTTAGTGGGAAATAGAATCTGTGATCAAAAGCTGTAAGGTTTTGTCGTGGCTCATGATGCTGTTTTGGGGAACAACATGTCCATTATTTTCTTGGCTGAGTTCAGCTTTGGTTTCTCAGAAGCTTCCAGCCCATCAAAGCATTAGTGCAAGGTTAGTGCAAGAGAGCATTTGTAAGCTGTGGAGCTTTTAGTGTATCAGAATACTGATAGACTGATTGGGACTGTTATCAGTACAGCAAATGTAATTTGGCTTAGATGGTTGTGTATGTAGGTAATGGGATTAATATGGAAGAAACAAACCACTATATGTGCTGGATAGATACAGGCCAGAGTAGGAGGGCAGGGATAGTGTATTTCTCAAGTCTCTTTTTTTTTGCCCTTTTACCAAAATGCCAATAAAGCCTCCTTTTGTCTTTAATGTATGTACTTTCTGCCTCTACTAATGTGCATCTCTGTTTGGCAGTTGGCCAGCTATGTGTATCCATGGAGACAAGAGTCAGCCAGAAAGAGATTGGGTGCTTAATGGTGAGTCCATCACTGAGGGGAGAATAGCTTGGGCCACTGTACTTAATTTACTGAGGCATGATTTCTCTGGTCATCTGTTGATGTTTTGTCTCTATACCGAAGAGATCTATTTCAAAAGAACTTCCTTTACTTTTGTACTGTTAATTTCAGTACTTGTATTTGCTGGGGTTTTTTCCGTGACAAAAACACAGTGGAAGAATTGCTTAACCCACAGAGCTGGATTTTGAGGAATAGTTGACACCTTATATCCTGATTTTTCTGGGATTTCTGACATTGAACTGTCTTACCTAGAGTCTGCAAAATGAGCATTTAATGTAAATCAAGTGCAGGCAACTTGGTTGTTTGAAAAAGCTTACTTCATAGCATACTTTGTTTTACAGAGTTTCGTTCTGGAAAGGCTCCTATCCTCATTGCTACCGACGTTGCATCCCGTGGGCTAGGTTTGTACACATAGACCACTCTTGCCTACTGCCGAGTATTTTTCTTCTTTGGACTGAAATATGCTTTCTTAAAGAAAAAAAATTCAAAGCGTGATTTTCCCCCACATGTGAAATACGTTTTTTAACTTTAATCTTTTTTTTGTCTTTCATATTCAAAGTCTCTTCCTGCTCCTAATGAACAGGCTTTGGTCTGCAGCAAGGCCTAGGCATGACCAATCGATCGCCAAGAGGGAGAAGAGACGTCCAATTATGCAACCCAACCCTTCCACCACACTCCTTTCCCAAATCCAGCTTTTGTTGCTGGATGATAGGGATGGATTGCTCTCAGTTCAGACCGTGTCAGATAAAGTCCCAAGCAGGAAGCTCTGGGAGAGCATTTCAAGAACCAATAGCTAATATTCTCCCCATATGACACACCACAGATTTGAGCATACCAGCCCCAGTGTACATGCATGTTTACCCCACAGATGCATCCACATCTGAGAAAGCACTGCTCCAGATCTTTGACACGTAACCTTCCCTCCTCTGTGTTCCTTCTAGGCAGGACCACTGAGATTATACATGGCCTTTAAACATCATGTTACGCAGATGTGTAACTGAATCAAAATTGCACAGCTCTGTTCTGGTGGTACAGAAATGATCTGTCTGGATGCATCAGTTGTGCCCCCTTTTTTAATAAGCATATTTGTATTGTGAAATGCTATGTGCTAAACACAGTCCTTGTGCATCTGCCCACTCTAGGAGGATGGTGTCTCAAATGCTCAGAGTTTAATAACAGACATTGAATACCCTCCCTGAGTTTGGTAGCAGATAAACTACTTGTGGGTCAGTGTCTCACTGTAATAAGTTTTAGACAAAATTACTGCAGATCAGTGCAGATAAGCTCAGAGAAATCTCTAGTTTGTTAAAAAAATCTCAGCTATCTGCAGTCTCTAGTTGTCATGTGCTGAAAGGGTGGCTGTGTTGTGCATCGTATGGTCACTTAATACAAGCAGACCATTACTAGACTTGGCAGCGTTTGTTCACACAACCTGCACCCCTCCTTCCCCTCCCCCTCAAAAATTGTCCAACACTTCCTCAGAGAAGCGATTCTATGGACTTCAGTCTCTGCCCTCTAGGGTCATGTCTGGACCTGTGCAGTTAGAACTTGGGCCTGTTGGGAGAAGGGACTGAGGCCTGAAACCACTTTATATGAAAGAGAGCTGCTTTCTCTAGCAGCGTTTTTTAAACAGGCTTGCTATGTGCTGGTAGCTTCTTTGTGCATCTTGCCTAGACATTTAAAACAGCCTCCTCCCCCTCAAAAAAACAAACCACTCTCCCAAAAACTACTCAATTGGATAACACTTCGGAAAACATTCTTCCCACTTCCCATCCTCCACTTCACTTGAGCTGAGGGGAAAAGGTACCAGTCTGTTTCTTGTTACTGAACAACATCTCAGCTTGTTTTGGGGCCCTGAGTTTGCTGCTGCTTAAAATTAAGTCCCTTAACTGGCAAACTTCTGGACGACTTCCTCCAAGATCCTGGAAAGTGAAGGCTTCTACCTAAATAACATAAAACAGGGGCGCGCGCCTTTTGGCTGAGTCACCAGGGCTTTCCCTCTTCCTAATGGAACATTGGTTTCAAAAAAGCTTCTTCCAGGTAAGTTCGGAGTCCCATAATGACTGCTTTGTGGTAATTCCCTGGAGTGAGGTCCTCTCTCTGCACTGATTTATTTTTTATTTTTTACTTTACTTTTTGTTCAGTTTATTAAACTAAAAACATTGAATTTGTTTTGTTTTGTTTTCTTTAACAGAAGCTTTGATATCAGCTGCAGGTCATTCTCAGTGCAGGGGTGGGGGCACATCTACATGGATGGTCTGAACAGCTTTCGAGACTAGCGTAATTGCTAGGTTATGTCTCTCTTGATTAATAATTGGAGACTGCCTGTGCCACAGGGTACTCTGGTGGTCTGACAAAGCGAATGTTTCCCAGGTAGCTGTCAAAAATGATTCACAGTTGCAATTCTTGATCCTGCTACATTATCTTCTAAAGGTGCAGGAAGATTGCAGGTGTGCGCAGACACTTTGGAGCATGCTAGACTGGAGAAGTCGAGTCTTGTACTTGCTCTGGTGTTTTCTTCAGTGAGCTACGTGCTCTACCCAGGACCACTTTCTAATCTGGAAAACACCCTTGCATTTTCCTCTTCCTGCCTTCCCATTCTTCCCACTCCTCCCCAGTCAAGTCAGTTCTGTCTACCTTGATAGCTACAATTACCTGTGCTTTCTGCCGGGAAAGCATGTCCTTGTGGTAATCCATACCTCTGTGGTAATTCAAGTCACTTGGCTACTGGTGGATGTGCAAAATGGGACTGACTGAGGATCATGTAGCCTGCAGCTTGTCAGACTAGTTCCACCATGGCTGTGAAGATGCAATCTGTCATACGTACTCCTCTCTTTACTTCACTATTCCTTATAAAAAAACCCTGTTGCAACAAGGACCCTAGCTGGAGACTCGCGCAGCCCCCTGTGAAACCTGCCTTCTCACTCCCTTTTTTTGGTGTGATTCAGGACTTTGGAGTCAGCAAAGACTGAGGAGCCCCCCCTTTGCTGTAATAAGAAACAGACATCAAGTCCCCCTCTTTGTCCCTACAACCCTCTTGTTTTTATTTTTCCTACAACCCCTTTGAAATTGATGCAGTCTGGGCAATAGATGCAGTCTGACCCTTTGGATGTAATTTTTGTATCTTCATTTTTTTGACAATTGCCCCCAAGAACCCCGAATAGGGGACAAAAAGCGTTGGAGGACCTGAAACTTTTACCTGAAGCCAGGTTCTCTGGCGCTTCACAACCAAATGGGGCTACAGAGAAGCGTCTAAGCCAGTTCACAGAGCGAGCGTGTGTGGGGACTTCTCGCTGCCATGGACCCTTGATGCATGCTCCCCGCGCTCCAGTGGTCCCGTGTCAGAGGGCGGAGTTTTCGAAAGGAGGCCGCCAAAAATAAAAGGCAAAGAGACGGGATCGGCTGCAGCGGTTTCCCACAGGAGGAGGGAGTGTGCATCGGTCTGGTAACAAACAGAGAATGTTTCTCTCTTTAAAACAAACAAAACACAAAACCAAAAAAAATCACAAAAATCTGTGTTTTATCTTGGATATTTTCAGAATATTCTTCTTAAAATGCAGATTTTAAATTTTTTTTTATGAGCTGTTAGGGTACTTACTGTAATAGAACGCTTTTAAAAGATACTGTAAGAGTAGGTGCTTTTGGTACTTGAGGTGCTTCCACTGAAGCGTTGCACTAACATTTACTCTGTTCCTGTCCCATGAGTTTACAAAGTCTCTTCCCATAAGGCACACAGTTCTCATCTCCTAGATCTTAATAATACTTTGCAGACAGGGCAATTTGGATAATTTAATTTCCTGCTTCCCTCTGACACTGGAAGAAGGGAATTGCTAACGAAATTCACAGTTGTCCAAATTACAGAATCCTGCAAGAACTGGATGGAACATCACAGTAAAATGTTAGTGCAATGCATTCTGGTGATAACTACAAAGCTGAGTTAAGATACTGTAGGTCTGAATAATTTTTAATGAGTTGGCTGAATAATGCTAATGTAATTGGAGTATCTTAAGCTTTAGGCAAGGAAAAGTAGTCACTGTGTTTTATTAGGACTGTAAAAGTGAATGTTTTTAAGACTGCCTTTTATTTCATGTTACTGAGTGGAAGGTAAGTGATCTTACTACTGTTATTGTTAGACTTCTCCCAACAGAGTAAAAGCTTTACCATGGCAGTTCTGCCCTTCCTCCACCCCAGTTTGCTCTGTCTCATGGTGGCATTTTCACTTTCCAGATTGCATTTTTAAAAGTAATAATAAAAAAATAGTACAGAATTCAGTTGGCTTATTGACATACACTGGTGTCTTGGACACCAGAAGATAGAGAAATGCATTCCGGGGAGGATAAATTTAAGTCTTCTGCTCTTTTGGGATGAGTCTGTCTTGTTTTTATTCCATGCAATTACTAACTTTGTATTTTTTTTTCTTATTACTGTCACCTGCATTCGTGCTCCCCACCTTTCGTTGGCACGTCCTCTTCTTCTCCCCTTTCCTCAACCCTCCCCCTTCACTGTGCTTCGCACATGGGCGCTTCACAAGACGTGGAAGATGTTAAATTTGTGATAAACTACGACTATCCGAACAGCTCTGAAGATTACGTGCACCGCATTGGCCGTACCGCACGTAGTACCAACAAAGGTACTGCCTACACCTTCTTCACACCAGGAAACCTGAAACAAGCCAGGGAGCTTATCAAAGTTTTGGAAGAAGCCAATCAAGCCATCAATCCAAAACTGATGCAGCTTGTGGACCACAGAGGAGGAGGAGGTGGCGGAGGTAAAGGCACATGGTAAAAGGGATACACAGGGAATAGGTTCCCCATCTTGAGGGAGGGAAGATTAAAAGAGGGTAGGAAAGTAGGAAGTGCAGTTCTAAGGTGACAAACAGTAACAGAATCGTAGAATTGTAAAGTCAGCTAGGTTGGAAAAGACCTTTAAGATCATCAAGTCCAACCTTCACCCCAGGGCACTGCCAAGTCCATCACTAAGCCATGTCACTGAGGGCCTCATCTGCACAGCTTCTGAACACTTCCAGAGATGGTGGTTCCACCATTTCCCTGGGAAGCCTGATAAAGCTGATTTGTACCCAAGTTTTCAGCATGTTTTGTAGGTGTAGTTTTACTTGTTCAACAGAGAGGTACTCTACTGTTTTACTATAGCTGTCGAAATTCTTTTTTCTCTGGATAACATCCTCACAGAGCTAATTTTGTTTGAATTAATGAATTCCTGCAGCTCCTACCTAAGCACAGGCAACAAGATGTGTATGCACACGTGCAATATTGGAATAAGTAAAGGGATACACTGACTTTGCCTTCAGGGACTGAGGCTGTTTTCCTTCCATTCCCTGAAGGAATAATAAGTTTACCTATATTTCCAAATTAATAGTGAATTTCTTCTGTTTCCTTGACTCCAAGCACATGCATTAAGAACCCTTTTCAAAATTCATATTTACACCTTGAACAAAGTGAAGAGGTGTATTATGCACAGCTGTGCAGGGAAGTTATAGTCAGTCAAAAGAACTTGTTCCTTGGTGGCTAAATTGTGGCTGCAGAAGGGGGAAAAAGGGTGGCATAATTGTACCAGAGTTCATTGTTTAAGCCTTGTTCACAGTACTAAATCTTAATATATCCATCGCCAGGAGGTCGTTCTCGTTACCGAACGAGCAGTTCAGTAAACAACCCTAACCTGATGTACCAGGAAGAGTGTGACAGGAGGCTCCGGGGAGTGAAAGAGGGCCGGAGAGACTCAGGTGGCTTCAGAGATCGTGAGCGTGGTGAGAGTTTTGCCAACGGAGCCAACAAGACCTATGGCAGTGCCTACGGGAGCCCAAATTCTGCTTTTGGGGCAGCACAGAGCCAGTATGGTTACACTCAAGGGAGCTATGGAGCAGCTGCCTATGGCACGAGTGGCTATGGCACTGCAGAGTACAGTGCTAGTGGCTATGGTGCCAGCACCACAGCTGCCACTGCTGGGAGAACCTCACAGAGCACTACCCAACAGCAGTATGCAGGGATGGTGGGGCGCTCGGGCCAGCAGCCACAGCCGCTCATGTCACAACAGTTTCCGCAGCCCCCTGCCACTAACGTGATGGGCTATATGGGACAGACTGCCACCTACCAGTATCCCCCCCCTCCACCTCCTCCACCCCCCTCCCGCAAATGAGATCACTCACCGCTGGGGACCAGTGTAGACCTTTTGCATTTAAAGGAACCTTTTATTTCTCTTCTTTCCCATTGTGATGTCTCTCTTATGCAGGTTAGACTTAGAATTCACCATTCACATCCCTTGAGCCCATCAGAAGTGGCCCCCAGTCCACATTACTGACCCTGTCCTCCTTTTTTTTTTTCCTTTTTTTTTTTTTTTAATTAAGAGATATATATAGCTGACTGGAAAATTTATTATTTTTTGTCTTGCATGTTGAGGAAATTGGAAGTTTTATTTTCTCTAAAAGAAATGGGTATAAAGCAGATAGGTTCCAGCTTGATCATCTTGGTGTCTTAGGGTTTGTGTGAAAACTTTCTTTGGAGGGGAAGAAGTTGCTATTCCGTAACACATTCACTTAAATTCAGGAAATATCAAAGAGGGATAGGAAACTTTGGGAAGCCAAAAAGCACTTGATTTAAAATGATAAATGCAAGGGAGCAGTGCTCACTTCTCCTAATCTTCTTTTGTTTTTTTAATAGCTCACTCACTGCTTGTAATCCGTCGTAGGTGACTTTCTATAGGAAAACTCTGCTCATTTGTCTGAGCTGAGCGGTGTTCAGAGTAATGTCCCAGGTACGTTGCTGAGAGTTTTCTACAGCTCTGGAAGCAGTGGCCCCATCTTCTGGTACCTGTAGCAGCCTGCAATAGGGAAGCTGGGATTAAAACCCCCATGCCAGAAACCAAACCTTTCTTGGATTCAGTACCTGAAAGCCATACAGTTGCTCTAGGTACCACAGGGTATGTTAGCCAAAGAAGTTCTTTCCCTATAATTGTTAAATTGCAGCATGGAAAACGCGTGGAGCTTGGTTATCCTCAAGTTGGTTTCTGCTCTCATATTCTCGTTACTGGGTTTATGGAGAGAAGTCTTATTTGAGAGCCCAGAAACTAAACAGAACTGAGATGATAAATGGCATTTCTTGTTTGTCCATCCTTCATGAACAAACATACCTTGGGGAATGTTCCGAATGCTGCTGCGCCAGATAAAATGTGACAGAGTTTTCCACACTTAAATTTTAGAGGTTTGAATAAGGTGGGCTGGGAATGGGAGGGCAAGGGGAGGAAGGGAGGAGGAGGAGATTGCCTGGGAATCTTTTCATGAGGTAAGCGGTGAGCTGGTTAGTGCATCTGGATTCTGAAGCTTGATTTCTTTTGTACCTTGCTCTGACTATTGCTTTTTCTGGCTTTTGAGTGCATTTCCCTGCTCCATTGGTCCCTTTGGGCTGAGCTCTTGCAGGTAGGTAGCATTTTAGAAAATGTTAGAGAAGAGTGAAATTTTAGTAAATACGTAAATAAAACTTGTTTATTTTACAGGCTAAGGTGGGTGTGAGGGGGTTTCCCCTTTAGTAAAGCATGTTGTTGACTTGTTATTTCTAATACCAGACGGTTCAGAGACAGTAGATGATAACAGGAGTTGGCTGCTCTTGATCTGATAATACGACAAAAGAATGGGTACATCTTCTGCTTTGTGAAGCATAACCTTTGCATTACGAGAGTGCAGAGGTTTAGGGTTTTCTTCTGTTGGCGTTCTTGCATATGTATGAACAAGGCAGCCTGCTCCTGTAGTAGAGTGGAACTTCTTATAGCCCAGGAAGAGACCTTGCTTATACAGAACTGATTTCTTTTTTAATTTAATTTCTTCCCAGAGTAAAATTTGGGGGGGGGGGGGTGAATGCGCTTTTTTTTATTTCTTTTGTTTTGTGCAGTACACAGGTAGGTTCTTGACACAGAAGGAAAAGACAGAGATCTGCCAGACCCTTGTTTCCCACTTCTAATTCCAGTATTTGGGCAGGAAGTTTCTTTGCTTGTGTTAAGTGAAAGCCAGAAGCATTTAGTTTATCCAGGCCTGACTGATTTGTCTTTGGCCTCCCTCACAAGCAACTGTAGAGGTTTGGGGGTTTTGGTTTGGGGTTTTTTTTCTTTATTTTTTAAATCTGTGCATTCAGTGCAGAAATGTGTTCAAGGGTCGGAGGAGTAGGACATCTCACTGACTGGCTTTAAAAAGGGTCTCTGGACCACCAAAGCTGCCTTATAGTCTGCTTTCACTTCTTTTGGGCGGACTTGTGCAGATGTAAACATCTATGCCAAGTCTTGCAGTGCTTCATTGCCATCGAAGGTCAGCTGTCCTCCAGGGTCTCAGTTCCATTCAGAGTGTTAACCAGACTGTTGAATGCTTAAATGCACCGTGGCATGTGCTGCCCCTGTCCCACCTGGTGCTCTCTGCTCTGTTCCATATACCAGCTGGAGGGCCCTTGCTGATAAAGGCATTAGCATCTAGTATTGTTTCAGTCTGCTTGTTTTCAATCTGTAGAAGTTTGTGGGAGTGTCAAATGAGTTGGGTGTCTCCCCCCCTCCCACTTCCTGAAGCAATTTACTGTTTGGACTTCTCTGAACAATTGGAAGGGTTAGTGGCTTTGTGTGGGATCAGCATCTTGTTTCACACACCTGCTGGTCTCTGAACACATTCCTGTTGTATTAACGAAGACTTGAATTGAGAGATTCATAGATCTGTGGTGTTCAGACACAGGATACTAAGACCTATGTTACTATTCTTAGTTTGTAAATTGTCCTTTTGATACCATCTTGTTTTCTTTTGTAGGTATAAATAAAAACACTGTTGACAATAAATTGTGAACTTTGTCTTTATTTTTGGAGTGTAAAGCCATCTTTGCCCCTGTTCTTCCCAGTACTTAAAAGTCAAATTCAAGCAGTTGGAAACACCTCTTGGTAACCCACTGGATTTTAATCACCGTGGTCCCCATTTGTAGAACACAAGGAACTGTCACTGAGAGTGAGTGAGTGAGGAGGATGTTTGAATACTTGGGGAATCAGAATATTCGTGTCATTCAAAGTGGATGTGTTTAGCCTGAATGTTACGGGACCTGAGCAGAATGAGGGTCAGGCAGAGTTAGCTTTCAGGAGGATGTTAGTCTTCATAGAGTTAAAGTAACAGCTTGTGGCCACATCTGACACAGGAAATACTACGTGTGACATGCACCAGTGGCCTTTGTATACATTATCAGACTTAATAGTACCATGTTCCCTTTAGGTGCTTGGTAAAGGACTGAAGGACTAAAGGTAGCAATAGCTCCTTTCTGCTCCATGTGCTGCCTCAGGGTGAAGGTAGGGGTGTGGGTTTTGGAGGTAGATGCTGGGAAGAGCTGGGAGAGAATAATTTGCACTACCTCAGTATTGGCCAGCACAAATTATTAGCACCAAATTCAAGTAAGAAGAAACTAAAAGGGGTAAAGTCTTGTATGGATGAAAAGCGCCTCAGCTTCTCAGGCTTCGTTGTCTTCCTGGCACTGGTTGAACCTCAGCTGAGCTCAATTGGTCAAAAAGAGCCAGGGAAGGAAAGCTGTGATCTTGACAGCTTCATCTCCAGGTTTTCTTTGTGTTGTCCATGGAAGTGTTTTCAAACAGGCATGGGAAGACTTAGCTTCTTTCCCTTTAGGACTGTGCAAAGAGAAAGAAGGTAATGGAGAAACTCAGGAAATTCAACTGATTGTTTCAGTTATACGTTGTTTTACTTGCTATTTAGAGTGTTAGGTAGTGGGTTGACAGGTTTGCAAACAGCAATGAGATTATGGCTCTTGAATTAACCTTGGGCACCCTCCATGCGCTGCTGTAGGCCATGAGGGCCTCAGTCAGGACTCTGTGCTAACAGCTTCAGAGAATCCTGTTCATTGTGGAAGGAGCATCTAGGAGACTTTAATGAGAAGGGTAAAAATAGGGAATCCTTAGAATGGGAGAATTTGCAAACTGGTAGGAGATGCACATTGCAAATTTGCTTCTACAGTGGGGAATTCACAACCTATTTATGTTAAAGAAAAAGCTTTCCTCTTCAATGGTTACTCCTCATGCCTCTTGATTTCCTGATATTTTTCTTGATGAGTATGGAGTCACTTTTCTACCCCCAGTGCTTCCCCCTCCTTTTTAATGGAGAATAGGTCTGAATAAATGGTCTGTGGCTGGACCCCTCCCTGAGCTTGCCCTATGTATCTGAGCTGGAAATTGGGATGGGAGGGAGGCCTTTTGGAAATACCAGGGCTTGTAGGCCTGGGTGAGGTGGATGCAGAAGTGGTGGCTGTGGGCTGCATGGTGGTCAGCCTCACAGGCTGTTGGTGACCTGGTGGTGTACCCCAGGGGTGGGCACTGGAGCTAGTACTGCTCAAGGGCTTATTTGTGTGCCAGAGGGAAGGGCAGAATACACCTTCAGTGATCTGCCGAGGGTGCATAGTGGAGGGGAGTGGCTGAGGCACCAGGTGGGATGAAGAACCCTGCCAGGCTGGAGAAGTGGGTTGGTGGGGAACCTCATGAAGGTCAATGAAGGGGAATGCCACATCCTGCCCCTGCGGTGGAATAACCCTTGCGCTTCAGTAGCATGTGATGGGGCTGTCCAACTGGAGAGCTGCTTGGGCAGAAACGGCCTTGGGTGTACTGGTGCACACCAACTGGAACACAAGCCAGCAGTGGAGCAAGGAATGCAGACAGTCTCCTGAGCTGCATCCCTGGCAGTTCAGGGGAGGTGATCATTCCTCAGCCATGGTAAGGCCACACCTGTAGTGATGGGTCCAACTCTGGGTTCCCAGAAGAAGAAACACAGGCATACTGGGACAAGTCCAGAAAGACCATGAGAGTGGTTAAGGGACTAGAGCATCCGATCCAAGAGCATGGGCTGAGATGGCTCAGCCTGAAGAAGGCTGAGGGGGATCTTACCTGTGTGAATAAATGCCTTGATGGGAGGAGTAAAGGAGGTCCAGACTTAGTGCTTAGTGGTACCCATTGACAGGGCAAAGGGCAATGGGACCTTGAACGACCTGCTGTGAGCAGTAGGGTGGATGAGATGATCCCCCCCCCCATCGCTCCCAACCTCAGCCGTTGTGTGGAATAACAGGCTTTTGGGAGCTGAAAGCTTTCTCGGAGTATCTTTCAGATCTTTGTGTTAAACAGAAAGGAGCTCATTCAGTTTTGAAAACAAGATAAAGACAAGTCATATTCTATAAAAATCCCTTTGCAATGCTTTGGTATAGGCTGTGAAGTCTTTAAACACATTTATATAACATACCTTTGCTTTTTTTTTCTTGCAGCAACGCTGCCCTTTTGTCTGAGCTCTTCAGTACTAGAAATGTTTTGAAAAGATGGGTTTTTTTTTATGAGTGTTAAGAGAGATGCAACCTGCTATAATATTGCTGGTTTTCATAAATGACTGCAAAGCATTTGCGTGTCTTCAGACACCTTTTCTCTCTCATGAGCCAGAACATTTGTGTAAAAGACAAAAAAAAACCCCAATTCTCTTCCTGCTGTGATATCCCAGCGACAAATGTTTCTTTTTCTGCCTCCTGTATCATCTAAATTTTGCAGCTCTATCACCAGCAATGTGAGACTGAAAGCCAGCAGTTGTTTTTCCCCCCTTTTTGTTCCACCACCCTCAGCTACAAAGGATATGGATTTCTCACAGAATACAGAAGCGCGCGGGATACATGAATTGAATGAAGCTAAAATGGGAATTAGTTTAAGGACAAAGAAAAACAACTGACACGGAGCACCTTGATGATGGTTTTACAAAGTAGTTTTCTGGCTATAAAAATGTTTTAATGATAGAAGGAAGTCCTAATGTACCAAAGCTGGCTACCTCCTCGGTGATTCTGTCACCTTTCTATCAGTAGGTATATTGCATGAGCTACCAAAGATCCATCCCTCGATGGGTGTCACTACTGCTTTGAGCAGACTAGTTTGGGAATATGAAGAAAGAAGAAAATGTTTGTTCTTTCAGATAGATTTCATTGTATTCCATCCTCCTCAACAGAAAAGTGGTTTAAAGCATGCTTAAGCCTCAGCAAACTATAGCATGTTCCACCAGGCTGATAGATGCCCTAGGTAGCCTTTTAGCTCTGGTACTTAGCCATTCACCAAAGTGCAGTGCTGAAGTGGAAGGGGCATCTGATTTTGGGAAACAGAATGGGAAGTCTTCTCCGTGCAGATGCCTGTCTTCCTACAGAATCAGTTCTAGAGAATGTTATGTCTTTTCCATCAAAAGAAAAAGCAGGCTTAATAATATCTCCATATGTCTGCAGTTGCTTTCTCAGGTACATTGTCTGCCTACAGCTATTTTTTCTTCGCCCTCAGAGTTCTTCTTGCCTGATTCATAATCTCAAAATGAGCGTAGAATTCAATATACCTCAATGGTGAATTTCCCAAGGTGGGGTTAAACCAGGCTTAGCTCTGGTTTGATTTCTGCTTTGTTTCACAGGCACGTCTAGAGCCTTGTGAGCAGAGATGCCCATTTGCATTCAACAGATAATTTATTTCTTTCTTAACTTGATTTTAGGTGGAAAATATGCATCACAAATACATCCAAGAACAGTCATGCAAGGATTAATGCAAAGCAAGCAGCAGCTCCACTGCGTGTTGCAAGAGTGCCAAGTGAACGTTTCAGCTTTATACCAACCTATTTACCTACCTTTGGTAACGTAGAGATAGAAGAAGTCACAGTAGAAGATGGTTTGTACCACCCCGGAAACTACAGCGATCTGGTCATAGAAATTCTCCGTGTAGTAGCGCCAGACCCAGTTAGCAATGTAGAGAGCCCGGTAGAGGCCCAGGAAGAAAAGGTAGTGTGTCGTGATGGTCTCTGCTTCCCCTGTCTTGCTGATCATGAAGAGCTGAGGGAGGATAGCCACAGACTCCAAGTAGATGGAGAAGGTCCAGAGTATCTGTGAGGTGCATAATGAAGGCAATGGAGAGACTTGGTACTGGTTAATATACATGAAGACCCTAAGCTTTCCATTTGGCAGAGCAACGATGTGTGAGCAGGATGAGTAGCGCTGCTGGAGTTGGGGGAAAATGAGCTTGCTGTGCTGAGACGGAGAGGAGACAGCACTGAGCTGTGCTGTAGACGGTGCAGTCCTCGAGGCATGCCAACTTTGCCTTTCCTGCCTGCTTTTGCTGTTAAAACTCTCAACCATTCAACATGCTGCTCACTCTGCTGTCTGGCAGCAGGCTGCTGCTTCCCCTCCCCTTTCCTGCCTCAGGTTTGCCTTACCTCCAAGGGCGTGAAGCTGTGGTTCTCCAGAAATGACAAGCCGGTGACCGGGACCAGCAGGAACTCCAGGCGAAAGGAGTCATTCTCACTGTCAAATGTTTTCCGGAATTTCACGTAGATCATGTACACGGTGACGTAGGCACATATCAAGAAAATGACCTGGGGAGTCACATGAAGGGAGGTGGCAAAACCTCACCTGCAATCGCACCTCTGGGCTTGAGTAGGGGATGGGTTTGCCCAAGTCAAGATTTGTTAACCCTGTCCTGCTGGGGCCATTCCTGGGTGAGATAGTGGTGAATGCTTTTAGAATCATAGAATGGTTTGGGTTGGAAAGGACCTTAAGATCATCCACTTCCAATCCCCCTGCCATGGGCAGGGACACCTCGCACTAAACCATGTCACCCAAGGCTCTGTTCTACCTGGCCTTGAACACTGCCAGGGATGGAGCATTCACAACCTCCCTGGGCAACCCATTCCAGTGCCTCACCACCCTCACAGCAAAGAATTTCCTCCTTATATCCACTCTAAACTTCCCCTGTTTAAGTTTGAACCCATTACCCCTTGTGCTGTCACTACAGTCCCTAATGAAGAGTCCCTCCCCAGCACCCTTATAGGCCCCCTTCAGACACTGGAAGGCTGCTATGAGGTCTCCACGCAGCCTTCTCTTCTCCAGGCTGAACAGCCCCAACTTTCTCAGCCTATCTTCATACAGGAGGTGCTCCAGTCTCCTGATCATCCTCGTGGCCCTCCTCTGGACTTGTTCCAACAGTTCCATGTCCTTTTTATGTTGAGGACATACTATGTTTTCCTGCACTGGACTGTGGATTGACATCTGTTGAAGATGCCCCAGTGGTCAGCTAAAGATTGCTCCACCACAGGGATCACACTTGCTTGAGTGAGGAGGTTTCACTTGGTGGTAGCCACCAGATAATGCACCAGGTGGTGCATGGTGTCTTGTCCTGGTTTTGGCTGTACTAAGGTTGGTGGTCTCAGCTCACTCACTGACTGTAGGGGGGGGGTTCTTGGTCAGTGGGGGGATAGTGACACAGAAGGAGGTATCTTTACCCTTCCTGGCTGAAAAACTGATGTAGTGACTATGCACCCTCACCTTCCTGAGCAACCATGGTGAGCTGGGGGGAACCTCTGCTTGTGCACTGCCCTTTCCTTACCTTCATCACAGTGTTGTAGACAGAGATGAAGGTCGTGAACAGATCCAGATAGCGGGTTGTGAAGACGAGTGCAAAAAGAATCTGACTCTTCCCAGAGATACCTGCGTGGCAGGGAGAAGAAGGGAAAGTAAAGCACATGAGAGGAAGGATGCTTTAGGGTAGGCCTTCTTTGGAGGCAGATGGATACACGCATGTTGCTTTGTGAGCTAGGTCTGGTATGCTTGTACTGCGGTGGCTCTAGACTCAACCCAGGACTAGCTGGAGTCTCCCAAGTAACAGTGCAGGCTCCTGCTGATGGCCCTGAGCCCTGCCTTGGGTTGTCGGTAGAGGCACTTGGTGGGCACATTCACTGCTTTGGCCAGTTCAGTTCACCTCGCCAGGGGCTGTGTGATGTGACATCTGCCACACGAGGGAAGAGCTGCGGCACCAGGGACCGGTACAGGGATGCTAATGGAATTTAGTCTCTGCTGGCAGAGAGATGCAGCCAGACCCACCCATTTCCCTACCTGTGGTAGCGGTGGCAGTGCTGCAGCCACTTGCAGAAGAAAACATGAACACTGAGCAAAATCTTCCCGTGGAAAGCTGCAGCCCTCATTTCCCCACCCAGGCACAGGGCAGCCCCTGCCCACCCGCTGCCAGGTCCTCCAGCCTAAAGCAGCTTTCTCTCCATGTTGTTGGGTTTGGTGCTACCACGACTTCTTGTGCTCATTTTCCACCTTTGGCCTCGCTGCCCTCTCCTTCGCTTCACCCTCCCGGGACCAACACCTGCCCGAGGCTGTGTGCCTTGCCACATCACATCCTTCCAACATCACCAGGGCAGGGAGGCCTCCCAGAGGAAGAGGAGGACAAGAATTACTTCCCTTAAAGAGCCCACCAGGGAGGGCTGCCGGTTTGTGTGGACTGTCACTGGCCTTTTTGGCACCCATTTCACTTGCACTCCTCACAGAGCTGCCCTCCAGGAAGAGCCCCCCTCCTTCCCTGGGGTGTGGGAGCACTCACCAGCACAGGACTTGGACTTCAGGATCTTCATCAGGAGGATGATGATGGCCAACAAGTGGGAGACATCCCCCAGGATGCGGAAGACGTTCATGGTGCCGGAGGGGGGGCTCCTCTAGGGTGAAGGGAGCAGGGCCCTTTCTGCAGGCAGGGAAGGTGAGGGCAGGGAGTTCTTCCGTCCCAAGCCTCAACCGAGTGACCGCTTCCCTGCAGCTCAGCTTTCCTTTCCCCCGAGTAAGGAGCTCTCTCTTCTGGCAGGGGGAAGTCCAGGCTCCCCTGTGCCCTGGTTGCATGCGCCCTCCCCGTGCCAGGCGCTCAAGCTGGATGCCCCCCTTGCCTCTTGCTTACTTTCTCCCCCAGGTGGGTTTTCTCTCTCCCGGTTCCAGAGCTTCCTCGCCCTGCCCCGGGCCCAAAGCCGGGCTTTGTCCCGTGGAGAGCCCCGGGCTGTGCTGGCCCAGCAGCCCTGAAACCAGGCTGGGTGTCGGTGACGTGGCTCCCGGCTGGCCAGGGAGGAGAGGGAGGAGGCGGCGGAGGCGGGAATAACCGCGCTAGTTTTCCTCTTTTCCTTTTTTTTCCCTTCCTCTTTTTCCCTTCCCCAACTTGTCTCAAGTTACACGGGGAAGTCCCGTTAAAAGGGAAAAGGCAGAGGGAAAGGGATCCCCATCTCTGTCTTTGGGGATGCACCCTCACAGAAGGGCCAGCTTTCCAGGGACATTCCTTGTGGGTGCGTTAACCTCTGTCCTGCTCCCTGCCAGCAGCCTCCTGCCCTTTGCCTTTCCCAGCCCCGTCCCACCTCCAGCACCTTCTCCCCAGCGCTCCCCGTTGTCTCCAGGAGCAAATGAAGCAACAGGGGGAGATGTGAATTATTACAGATGCAGCTGTATGTCACCCCCACTTCCACAAGGCATCACGGACACCCATTCCCTGATGCCCCCCCCCCCAAGGCGACCCTGCCTTCGGGTACCCTGCCTAGGGCAGTGTAGATCCCAGAGCCCAACCCTGAAGGAAAGAAAAGATCCCTCCAAGGGCTGGTTTGAAGCAAACTTTGCTGTAAATATGAATCCTGGATGCCTGCAAGTGGACTGCAAACAGCCCCATGCATGTGTGGAGTGCAGGAAGCACATGGGTGCTGCTGGGTTTATAGGTGGAACGGGAGAGGAGCCTAGTAGTGATGGCCATCAAGTTTCAGTGCATCCAGGAACAGCCCTGGCTGGGATAAACCTTGTCCTTGCAGCAGTGGGCACACAGGGAGGTCTCACGGCAGCAGCAAGGGAATCTCCGTGTCAAGACAGGGCCGTTGGATCTTTTATTATCTAATTGCTCATATAAATGTGCTTTAGTACAACCAAATGGAGGGTTTAATTTGTCACCTCATTCCCAAGCAACTCACATTTGGCTGTGGGTCTAATTTGGTTGCGTGACCCTGCCTGCTTGTGCCCCTGCTGCCTTCCCTGTCCCCAGTGTCACCCGTGACCGTCTCCTCCACATCTCCCTCCATCCTTATGGGCTCGCTTGGAGTAAAATCCCTAATGATTAAAGTGTAAAAATATTATTCCTGGTGCTCACTGAGAGGACTAACAAGTCTATTAGCATCACCGGCTTCCTTTCTGAATTCATTTGCATATATTTCCTCCCTGCCCATTAGGCTGGCTGCCGTGTTTCCCCTCTCTGCTGTTCCAGCACCTGCCACACTGGGCTTTTCCAGACGCATTCCCAGGCTGGGCTGGAAAACACCCGCTCAGCCCTGGGAAACTGGGGAGGGCCTGGTCAGGGCACCAAGTTAGGGGCTGGTGTGGGAGGAGGGGAGCAGGTTAGACCAAAGGAGAGCGTCAGCAACGGGGCAGTAGGGTAGGGACCAGCTAAAAGTGTGTCTCCAGCTATGGGGGCCGCCTGGGGTTTCAGCAAGCTTCTCCAAAGCCATACGGGTGCTGGTGAAAGCCAAGCCCCAGCCCTGGTGGCCCAGCGGGTCCCTTCCCAGGTGGGCAGAGATCAGTCTGAGTGGTGGAACAGGCATGGGGGACTTCATGGGAAGGAAGAGATGTGGAGTTCACTCTTCCGACGGCTCCTCTGCCAAGCTCCTTGGGTGCAACATCTGAGAGCCCTCAGCATCCTCTGGACCCTCCACTGCTCTTCACAGCTTCTGTTCCCATGCAGGGGATGAAGCTTCCTGTGGATGGGTAGAACTGTTGCGGGTGGCAAAGGTTCCTTCTCTTCATCTTGCGCCTTCCCAAGGAGAGCCGAGGGGCCCCAAGGCAGGTTGTTACAAGCTGCTGTAGCACCAGGAGGTGACCACCAGAAGGACTCCATGGGAGCAGCCGAACCGATCTCACCCAGCTGCGACAGGGCGGTGGGGTTAGGGTCTCCCATGGGACATCTTCATGCGGCCCTTGGGAGGATGATGGGAAAGCTGCTGAGAGGGCGGGGGGCAGCCGGGTGCTTAGAGGAGGGGAAAGCTGGCACATGATGTGGGAGCAAGTAAAAATAAACCTCCCTTCCTCCCTCCCTGCCACAACACGAAGCGCCTTGCACCGGGTGTCTCCCTGCCTCCCGAAATAATGCCGGGTGCTGCCACCGCTCCGCACGGTGATGCTCTCTCCATGCCTCCTGTTTCCATGGCGACCGCAAGGAATATCGCTAGGGTGACAGGGAGGCGATGGAGCTGGGATTTGGCATTAAAAACGAGAATTTGGGGTTCTTCGGTTTCTTTTTTTCCCCTTTAGTTCTATTTTGGTGTTTCCCTCTCTGCCTCTGCTGATCTGGGAGGCGCCTTCTGCTGCAGAGCCCCGGGGCCAGGTGGCAGCAGATCCATTGAGCACATTCCTTCTCCACCTCTGCCTGTCCTGCAAGGCAAAAAGAGGGGCAAAGGGGGTTTCCTTCTCCCTAAGGCGTTTGTTTCCTGCCACCAGGAAGGGCTCTGTACTTTCACTCTGGAGGTGCTTGGCCAGGACCCCTCCTCCATCTCTGCTGCAGGCTGTGGTTCAGGCTGCATCCAGAGCCCCCAGGAGGGTGGGCAGCCCCCGGGATTCATCCCAGCGTGGTCCCAGAGAGAGATACAACTCGGCATTCCTCGAGGGGCTGGGAAACATGGTGGGGTTGAGCACCATGACCCACCTCTGCCTCTCAACACCTCTGCCCCTGCGACCAGGATAGGGCAATTGTGGAGTGGGACAGAGATGGGACGATCGGAGGAGGACAAAAAGGCAGCCTGGCAAGTGCCCAAGCTGGGGCTGCTGGCATGGGAGTTGCTCTTGTCTTCATCCCCAGGCAGGAGAGGGGTCAGGCAGTGCTCATTCACCTTCCCAGATGCTCCTGCTCCCCTCTATCCATCTCTCCTTCCATCCATCCATCCATCCATCCACCCCTTTCCATCCACCCTTGTCTCTCTCCATCCCTCCATCCCTCCTTCTCCACCCAGCCCTCCATCCATCCCTCCTTTCCTCCATCCTTCCACCTTTCCATCCCTCCATTCTTCTGCCTCCCTCATCCCCACAGCAGCATCAGGAAAGGTTGGCGGAGTGGGGCTATTTTTGGGAGCGTCTCCCTGGCAACGGCTGCCACCACCGTCTGTGGTGGCTTTTCCATAGGTGCTAAAATATTCCACGCTTCTTATTAAAGATGGTGCCGGTGGAGACGGGCGGGGGTGGTGAGTGTGAGCCACCCCGCTGCTGGGGCCGGCGGGCCTGGGGTGACCAGGGCACTGCACCCCAGTGGCACTAGGACCACAGCGGGCCGATGGCATCCTCGAAGCAATGTCCCCATGTCCCTTCCTGATGGTGCTGGCCGTGGTGGCTGCCTATTGGCACAAGGTGCAACTATTCATCCCCTTGATGCTCAGGTGGAGGGAAACATGGTGAAGTCTTGGGGAAGATGGAGATGAGAAGCGAAAGGCAGATATGGCGAAGCACAGCCTGAAGGTGAGGTGGGTGCAGGGGTACGTGGTGGCTTTGCCCAACCTGGGAAGGAGCAAGATGTCTCAGCAGCATTTCCATCCCTTTCCACACAAAGGGGGAAGACCTGTCGAGGTGCCAGAGAGCTGGTATGCTTTGCCATGGGGCGGCTTTACAGCTCCCAGCCTTGTGGGAAGCAGCCCCACAGGTCCTGGAGATGGGGGTTTGGGAAAGCAAGCCCCCCCCCCATGAACCTGGACAAGGTCCCCATAGGGAAGGCTGTAGAGGGGATAGAGGGAGTGAGTTGGCCCTGCTCCATCCTGGTGCTGTGGCTTCCAGGGATCCCCCATTTGAGCAATGGGGAGCAGCCATGGCTGAGGTAAGCTGGACAGCGCAGGAGGCTGACGCCCTCTCCATTTGCAGCTGCTCATCTGCATGGGCAGCTACTAAAAACACCCTCTGCTTGCCCTGGGTGAGAGTGGGCTGCACTCACCATGGTGGTGCTCATCAGCTGTGTGAGGAGGCATCCCATGTGCCAGCGGACCTTGGGCTGATTTTGCAGGATTGGAACCCAGGGGACAGTCAAAAAGTGAGGGGTTTTTAATCTCTTTTGGCTTTCCAGCACAGGCCTTAATGCTGGGGGACAGCAGCTGAGACACCGAGATGGAAACCATGTCCGCAGACCCTGCTGGCCTGGTGCAGGGCATCCCAGGGAGCTGCTGCCCACAGCCACCGCCTGCAGGGACAGGGTGCACTTCAGCATCTGGCTTTGCTGCCACAGAGTCCCCTGGCCTCTTGCCTTGTCACCAAGAAGCGACCTTTTCAAAGCCCCTGAGATGCTGCTGGCCATGGAGACCCAGGGGAGGAGGTTTCTGGGACCAGTTTCCCATCCGAGAGGCCATGCACCATCCTGGAGCCCCGAGGGCTGTCCCTTCTCGCCTGCATCACCCATCCTAGCAGGACAGCCGCAGCACTGCAGGGTGTGGAGGCCAGGCTGTGGATGCAGGGAGGTGATGCTCTGCACCAGCTGGGAGAGTCTGATCCTGCCTTAGGGTGAGGTGTCAGCCCAGCATCCCAATCCCAGGTAGGAACCCCCCCCCCCCCGACAGTGGATGTTTCATCCTAGCAGGAGGATTCACCTCCCTGGGGGCATCCTGTGGCCGTGCTGTCCCCTTCCCGTTGCCGATGGTTGCGCTCTGGTCTCCCCCACGGTGGCTCCGCAGCTCTGAGCTCACACGCGAGGATGGGCTAAAGTAGCGGAAAGCTGTTGGATCCTACCACAGAGTTACTGACTTCTCAGCTACAGACTGCATAGCAATCAGCGAGGGGGAGAGGCAGCCAGGGAAAGGGAGCGGAGCGCACAGGGAGGAAGAGTGGAAAGGAGAGGGGCGATTTGGGGACCAGAGCAGGGGGGCAGCGGGGGGCACAAGCGAATAACGCCAGGGGAGGAGGGAGTCAGGCAGGAGGGGGAGATCCAAACCCATCGCGGAGCCAGGAAGGCACAGCAGCGCTCCGTGGGATGGATGCTCCGGGGAGTGAAACATTCTGAGGAGAGGCAGAGGCAGAGGCAGGAGGAGAGCGCTGGCGTGGGCAGGGCAGAGTTAGGAGAGGCGAAGGTCGCGGTAGAGAAGTATATCTCCGAGGGGGGGGGGAGCGTGGAAAGCCCAAGCCAGAGGCAAGTGCAGGCTGCAGAGAGAGCTCCCTGATTCCTCCCGTCCGGCTGAGATGCTTCATGGTGAGATGGAGACACCGGCCGCTCTCCCCTTCCTCTGATGTTGGCTCTGCACCACGGCTGGAGCCGGCGGCAGCCCTCGGCAGGACCCGGGTAAGAGGCAGCGCTGGAGCGCGCTGCTCC